TAGAGGGGTAGCGTGGGACACACCAGACGGGGCAGGACCTGGGGGGGGCGGGGGTACCGGAGGAGCGGGAGCAGGAGGAGGAGAGGGTGCGAGGAAGAGAGGGGGAGGGGGTACCGGGAGACCTCGACAGGGGTACCGGGTGTAGTAGGACACGGACTCGTCAAACCGGACGTCACGGGAGTCTAGGAACTGGTGGAGGGGAGGGTGGTAAAAGGACCAGTCAGCAGAGTCCACTGGGAAACCAAGGAAGACACATGGGACGGCGCGTGCCGAGAGCTTGTCCGCGGAGGTGTCGCGAACAAGTGCAAGGCAGCCCCAGACTCGAAAGGCCGACCCAACACCAGGGGATCCAGTCCAAAGACTGGTCGGTGAAGCCTCGGGCCGCGAGACACGCGGCTGGAGGTTCAGCTGGTGTGCGGCGTAGCGAACCGCGTGGGGCCACAGAAAATGGGGCGCACGGGCATGAATCATGGACGTGCGGGCGATGTCCATGACCAAGCCTATGCGGCGCTCAGCAACCCCATTCTGCTGTGGGGACTCTGGCAGCGTCCAGGACTGGGTGATGCCCTGTTCGCCGCAGAATCCGCCGAGAATGCCGGAGCGAAACTCGCCCCCACGGTCGGAGTGAAGACAACTGACTCGACGACCACGAGTGCCCTCAGTGGCTAGAAGCCACCTGATCAGCGTAGCAGTCACCTCGGACTTCTTCGCAAGAGGGAACACTGTGGTGTACCTGGAGAAGTCGTCGACGACCACCAGAAAGTAACGCTCCCTCCCAGACCCCTGCGTCGGGGCAGGGCCCCAGACGTCCAAGTGGAGAGTCTCGAAGGGAGCGGTGGCCGGACGAAGGGAGGAGGAGTGGGGAGTGGCGCGTAAGCGACCGGCGACGCACGGAGAGCAAGGAGGGGCAAGCGAGAGAGGGAGCGACGGGAAGGTGCGTGGGAGACCTGTGACTAGTCCCTGACTGAGCATGCCACGAAGGCGAGGGATCGACGGGTGGCCAAGACGGTGGTGCCACAGGACGGTGCGGTGGGCGAGAGAGCGACAGGAGCAAGACGCAGCGACTGGACTGGACACAGCGACCGGACTGGACACGACTACCTGGCTAGACACAGCAACTGGACTGGGGACCTGAGCCGGAGGGGACGCAACAACCTGAGGGGAGGACGCGACCGGGGAGCGCTCGGTGTGGAGAACGTAGAGACCGGAGCGGGGCTCCCTGGTGAACGTGGCCAGAACAGCACCTGTGGTAGCGTCAGTACAGACTGCAGTCCGCCCCCCCCCCACAAAGGTAACGGTGATCCCCCTGTCCTGGAGGTATCCAACACCCACCAAGTTCCGAGTGAACGAGGGGATGTGGAGGCCGCGCAAGACACCAGAGGGGACCACAGGGCACGGGAGGGTGGTGGAGCTGCGCGCAACGGCTGGTCCTGAAGAAGGATCAGCCAAAGCTACCGGAACCGGAGCAAGAAGTGGTGTGAGGGTCGTGTGGTCGCGGAAGAAACACTGCGACGCGCCAGAGTCCAGCGTGAACGACAGAGACGCCTCAGCCGGAGGCGTGTCAGGTCCGGAGGCTACACAAGCACCTAGAGCAGAAACACAAGCACCTAGACTAGAGAGGCACAGGTCTACACTAACAGGAGGCAAGCATCCTAGACTACGAACACGCGAGCACACAAATCCATCAGCACTATAGTCAACATCAGCATACAAAGCATACTGACGAGCATCGTCCATAGACAGTTCAAATACAGGAATCTTACGGGCTAGCAGGCGAGCCCAGCGCGGGGTGGTCGCCTCAGGACCCCAGCGTGCACGGTAGAGGTCGTCGAGGCGGCGGAAGCACCGCGCTGCAGAGTGGTCGTCGCGGCCGCAGACACAGGGACTGCCAGGTCCGGTGATGCACCAGTGGTCGCAGGGGCCGGTGTCGCGCCGCGGGGGGCGAGGGGCCCAGCTGGTAGTGCTGCTGCTGCGGCCAGTGCTCCCGGGTCCTCCAGGTCCCCACTGTGGCGGAGGGCCCCAGTGCTGCTGCGGACCCCACTGCAGTGGGGGTCCCCACGTCTGAAACTGCTGTGGTGCCTGCCACTGCTGCTGTCCCTGGTGCAGCTGCTGTCTCTGCTGTGGCTGCTGCTGCTGGGGCCCCGCACCACCGCTGGTTGAACCTCCTCCAGCAGGTGGGTCAGCACCTCCTCCAGAGCTCCCTCCGCCTGGGGCAACACCGCCACCACTGCCGCCCCCAGGGCCGCCTCCACCACCGCCACCTCCTCCACCGCCGCCACCCCCCTTCCCCCCTTTCTTGCCCCCCTTGCCCCGTTTCTGCCTGTCAGCGGCAGAAACAGCTGCAGTGTCCTCAGAAACCGACACAGCAGCAGAGGCACGTGTAGCAGTGAAGGTAGGAAGCTGGGGGACAGCACACCCCTCAAACAAACGAGGGGCAACTGCGTCAGTGGCTGAGGCAACAGAGAGGAGGTTACTCTCGATCTTCCCGAGAGTGGTCTCGAGAAGATCAATCGTAAGCTCACTGGGGTGATGCTGGAGAAGTGCGTCACGGGCAGTGGAGAGGCGGTCAGGGAGACGAGTGACTACCCAGTGGACTGTGAGCCAAATAGGAGGAGGAGCAACAAGAAGCTGAGCCTCAGTGCAAGCTGCTCGGTAGCTAGCGACAAGGGAGCGCAAGTGTGTGGCTAGGTCAGAGACAGTCGCAAAAGAGCCGAGGTCGGGAAACACGAACGGCATGAGGATGCGGCTGAGGGAGGCAGAGGAAGGGGTGGAATAGCGTGCAGAAATAGCATCATACACCTCCTTCGCAGTCTCTACCAGGTCGAAGTGAGCGGCCTCAGTCGGTGGAAGGAGCTCGGTCAGCGCGAGTGCAGCCGCAGCGTCACGGGAGTCCCAAACGTCCCGCGCCAAGACGAGACGAGCGTAGTCCGCCTGTGCCTCCGGAGTCGGGGGGGGGCACGGCAGGGAGGGGCTCAGGACGCGGTGGTGCCTGGAGGGCGCCGGACGCGTGGGCGTACAGGGTGGCGCCGTCCTGGCGCTGACTGGTGAGATAGCGCTGAGTCTGGCGGAGCCAGGTGCCGAACTCTATCGGGCGCCCCTCTGCATCGAAACGAAGGCGGCGGGAGGAGTCCATATTGGACGCTAGGCTAGGAACAGCTGGAGCACGGAGCAAACGGAGCTAGGAGCGAGGAGCGCCAGGTGGGACTAGGCGAGGTACTGCTGGAGCACGGAGGAAAACTGAGCTAGGAACGCCAGTCTAGTAACGAACGGAGCTGGGAGTTAGCTGACCTAGGAGCACACGGCTGGAGGAGGCAGGGCTGACGAGCCGATCGAGGAGCCAGAGGGTCGTTCGAGGGGCTGGCGGAGCGAGGAGAGACCTAGCTAACAACGAACGTCAGGACTAGCCTAAACAGCTAAGCGGAGCGGCCTCCAGCCGCGACGGTGCGAAACACTGTGAGTATGAGTGACGCGAGTGTCGAACCAACGGAGGTCGGGTGGTCCTGGGTGGTGTGCGCGCGTGATAAGGGGATGTGAGCGTTTGGAAGGGGCTCTGAGCGGTTGGAAGGGGCTGTGAGCGGTTGGAAGGGGCTGTGAGCGGTTGGAACGGGCTGTGAGCGGTTGGAAGGGGCTGTGAGCGGTTGGAAGGGGCTGTGAGCGGTTGAAAGGGGCTGTGGGCGGGTGGGAGGGGCTAGCTGGCGCCAGCTGCTGGCGGCTAGGTTCCGGTGGCTAGCTGCTGCTGGCGGCTAGCTTCTGCCTAGCCGTGCTGCTGCTGCAGGAGCACGCGCTGCTGCCTAGCCGTGCTGCTGCTGCAATGCACACGTTGCTGCCTAGCCGTGCTGCTGCTGCAATGCACGCGCTGCTGCCTAGCCGTGCTGCTGCTGCAATGCACGCGCTGCTGCCTAGCCGTGCTGCTGCAGCAAAGCACGCGCTGCTGCTGCAATGCGCGTGCTGCAGTGGCGTGCGCGGCTGCCGCTGGCTAACGCGCGCGCTGCTGCGGGCTAAGAACGACTACGCGGGCCCGCGGGGGGGGGGGGGGAGAGTCCCTTCTGGAGCGCGACGAAACGAGGGGCCAGTGGGGCCCTGTAAACGCGACGAAAAACGAGGCCCGCGGGGGCCCTTAAACGCGACGAAAACGAGGCCCGCGGGGGCCCTTAAACGCGACGAAAACGAGGCCCGCGGGGGCCGTCCTACCCGCGACGAAACGGGGCCTAAGGGACGGGCGCCTCGGGACCGGCTAAGGGAGGGAGCGGAAGCGTGGGAGGGAGTAAAAAACCTACTCTAATACCATCTTAAGATAGGCTAGGAGACAAGTGTCGAGAGTAATGTTTGAGTAAGGAGGGACAAGGAGATACAAATGTCGACCTAAAGTGTTGTACCCTTTAGAGGGCAACTCACAGTAGCCTATCTAACAATATATAGAATATATAAACATTTGACACATACAACATTTTTCCCTGAGGCATGGATGAGATTCAGCAGTGGAAAATTGTCGTTGATGGAAATGAATAGCAAAAGAGGCATTCCAGCCAGAGACCATGGCATGGCAAAAGAGCGCATGTAACATGTTGCTATGTGTCTACTACACTGCTGCAAGCGCATTGCGAAGGGAGCGCTGCTAGAGTTTTACAAGATTGCTGTTAGAGTTGACTTGACTGCTGCTTAAGTGCTGTTGTGTTGTCTCGTCGGGTCCTACATCAGGACCAAAGCGAAACCTTAGCTGCTGTTCACCAATCTCCTCCCCACCCCACTCATCCATCGCAATTTCCACCTCACAGGACTCTCAGCCTTCCCTTCTCACTCAATGTTCTCGTATATCCTTGCTCATTCCTCTCACTCTTCCAAGATCCAGTTTTTATGCACACACTCTCTCTCACTCCTACCACTACTACCTCTTCCTCTCATGCATCGCACCCCCACTTATGCCACACACTCTCATGACCCTTCAACGCATCCCCTTCTCCCCTCTCACTCGTCTCTTCCTCATTACTCCCTCGCTCCTCTCATTCATCCCCTCCCCACTTCTGCCGCACGCTCTCCTCTCTCTTCCCCGCATCGCCCACATCCCCACCGTCCGCAGCAGCACCAGCAGTGGCGGCACGGGGGGTGTAGATCTCCTGCTGCTGCGAGCGCGGCCCCTTAAAGCCCCGAAGCACGAAGAGAATGCAGTTGACTAGGAAGGCCACAATTCGAAGGCCCTGCGTGAACAGCAAGTACTGTTCGGGTAGGGTGGAAGATTCAGGGTTTGGGTTTTGAGTGGGGCAGGAAAGGTAGGTTGGGGGTAGGGGGTGTTGGGGGGAGAAGAGGGAGGAAAGGGGAGGGGAGGGGAGCGAAGGGGATTAGAGGGGAGGAGAGAGGAGGGGACGGATGGAAAGAGGCAGAGAGGACAGTTGACGAGAAGAAAAAAACTTGATATATTTGGTAACAAACAAATGGAACTGAAACGCACAAAAGGTCCATGAGACCACAAACAATCAAAAGAGAGGAGGGGGGGCCGGGGGAGAGTAGTGTTGCAGATTCCCATAGCAGAAACGTTACAAATCCCCCCAAACACACTCACAGTGATCGGAGTTTACTTTTGTGATGACTCAAAAAGAAGGTATCGTAACACCAAGCAGGCTCTGTTTGCAGCTTATGACTTTTGAGTCGACTCAAAAGTCAGCAGGCTGTGTTTGCAGCTTCGTCTCGTCCCACAGCTCATCTCCCCGCCTCTCCTTCCCCTTCCCCCCCCCACACAGGTACTTAGGCATATTTCAAACCACATCTCAAAACGCGGTGACAATGCCAAGCACAATCATAAAGAGCAGAACATGCTTCGTCCCCCCCCACCGCTCATCTCCCACCTCCGACCATTCAACCATTTTGAGACCTCTCAGTCAGAACACGTCTCAAAACGGACTCACAATGCCAAGCATGCCGCCGATCGCAAACAGAACCTGCTTCGTCTCCTCCCACCGCTCATCCCCACCGCCGCTCACGCCATCCCCATCCCCTCCCCCACCTCCTCCACCTCCTCCCCAGCCCCTCCCCCGGCCCTCCCCTCCCCCGCCGCCCTCCTCACGCTTCTTAATCTCCGCGTCCCACTTATTCAAAAGGTCCTTCTTTCCCGATAAAGCATCTTCCAACGCCTTTCTCGCTGCGTCCTATGGGAAAAAGGGGAGAAGGGTGAAAAGAAGGATGAAGGGGGAAGGAAAAAGAATCAGACCTCGCTGCGTGATCGCCGCGTCCCACTTGTTCAAAAGGTCCTTCTTGCCTGACAGAGCATCTTCCAACACCTTTCTCGCCGCGTCCTGGGGACGGGACAAGGTGTGCGGGTGGGCGAGGGGAGGGAAAAGGGGGAGAGAGGTGTGCGGATGGGGCGTAGTGCGGGTTGAAATGCTTCTTAATCTCCGCGACCCACTTGTTCACACAAACCTTTTTCTCTGGATTGAGGAAAATTTTCAGCGCCTTACCCTCTGCTCCTGGGAAGACACGAACACGCACGAGAAGGCTTAGCGAGTGAAAATTGAGTCGAACTAGAAACTCCCGATTGGTCTATAGAGATAAGAAAGCTAAATGACTCATCCATCAGACGAAGTGCGTAAGTTTGCTTAGCGTTTCTCCGTGATCGTGTGTCGTGGATTTGAAGGTTGAAGATTAGTCCTCCTCGACTTCCCTGAGTTAATGAACTCCAACATTACGAGGTGACTTATGAGTCAACTCAAAAGTCACTTCTTCCCTGAGTTTATGAACTCCAACATTACCCCGAAAAGCACAAGCAGCTTACCTTTTTATCCGCTCTGCAAGCCGTGCTCGGCCTCCTGCCACGTGTCACTGCGTTTAACCCAAACCCGGACTTCTCGATCTCAGGACCCAACGAGCAAACGACACGTGGCTTTCTGACGAGTAATGACGGGCTGTGGGGGGATGAAAATGCTTGAAGCTTGTTTTGATGACCGTCTAAACTGCCGGCAGCCGTCAAGATCGAATGCTGGCTGGTCAGACCCAGCTGCGACGTGCAGACTGCCATAGCGACGCCGAGGGATTCAGCCGCCTGTGGATTCTAATGGCGATTAAAAAAGAGCGTATTCTTTAGTACGAAGCGCTGTCGCTTTTGAATGGACCGTTAAAAGACGGGGCTGGATCCTGAAAGGCAGTCGCAATATCCCATCAGTTGCGAAACGGATAAGGCTGACTCAGCAGCACGAACAGCCAAAGCAGCAGCAGCAGCTGAAGCAGTGAGTAGCAGGAGGAACCAAAAGAAGCTTCTGTATTCGCCTTGAACTGACTCACAATTTGCCAGATTTCACCACAAAAGTGTACTGCTACAAGAAAAATATGGTCTCACGATAAACCACACCCACTTTCAGCCGAACTTCAAAATCTTCGACCTTGCAGTCAGGTGATGGTAACATCTCACTCTTCGGTCATCCATCCATCACGGGCTTGGCGAAACCTGAAGTCTTCCATCGCTTCGCAAAAGGACTCTCGCCTGCGCGAATTGAATGGTAACTGAATCCCGATCTAGAGCCACAGATACCACCGACTGATTCTATAGCTCCGCGCGTCTTGAGCTACTCCCACTTACGGTACTTCCCTCTAGCCTCTCTTTAGTATCGCCTCTCCCCAGGCTCAGCTCGGCGCCATAACGCGCTGCGAGGCAGGAAACCCGCAACGCGGAGCAACCGAAGCGCAGTCATTGAGTCTGTCGCGATAGTTACCCCTGCTGCCGTTTTCCCGCCCAGCCGTTTCGGACAAAGAGGTCTCCTCTTGATCCAACTCTGTTGATCACCCGTATCGCTGACTGATCTACCTTTTCGCCGCTTCTTCCTATATACTGTGTGGACCTCGAAATTCTGAAGATACGATTTCTAGTCGCCCTCACAGTGTAGTTGTTGATTCTAGGTACTAATGGCTCTGTTCCGCGCGCGGCTCGGCGGATTCTTGGCGGGATTCGCGGTGGCGTCGGCGGGAGCGATGTACATGTTACAACGAGATCTCTTAGCGAGTCATAAAGTGCTCACGGAGCAGGTGAGGCCTGTACCGGTTCAGCCTATATCGGAACAGTGACGGAAAGACTGATGCGCCAAGGGAACATGGAGCATCGCAGCATGCTACCCCGCAAAGTCACTGTCCATCGCGGACGTCACTGTTGCTTCAGTGACGTCACTGTTGCTTCCGTGACGTCACTGTTGCTTCAGTGACGTCACTGCTCATTTGCTGGCGTCGATGTTCCTTCGCTGACGTCACTGTACCTCCAGTGACGTCACGGCGCAGAACGAACGACGTCCTGTCTGCAGAATCGCTGCGCACCAACAGGATTCCCTACCGCTGCGTGTGTCCTGTTCTGAGAGCTCGAGAGAACGATACAAGCTGCTGCAGGTCCAGACATAGCTCACTGATGAGAATCCAACGCGTGGATCTCGCGTGGAACGATACAGGCTGCTGCATTCAAAAATCGTCTAGCCTGACCGGAGAATCCAACGGCTTGCCATCGTCACCTGCGTCTCCCCTCCCCTCCCCTTACGTCACGTGCCCACTGATGGCGCACAATGGCAGGCGGAGGGATACAGCAAGCTGCCGCACTAGAGGCTCCTCTAGCCTGACCAGAGAACCCAACGGCTTGCCATTGTCACCTGCGTCTCCCCTCCCCTCCCCTCCCCTCACCTCCCCTCACCTCACCTCACCTCCCCTCACCTCACCTCCCCTCACCTCCCCTCACCTCCCCTCCCCTCCCCTCACCTCACCTCACCTCACCTCACCTCCCCTCACCTCACCTCACCTCACCTCACCTCACCTCACCCATCACTTTTCCACTGACGCCACACAATGGCAGGCAGAGGGGTACAACGCTGCAGCGGAGGCTCGTCTGGCCCGGCTGGAGAATCTGACGTATTGTCATTGTCGTCCGTCACTCTCCTCCCCCCCTCCACCCCCCTCACGTGCGACGTGCCCACTAATGCCACACACAATGGCAGGCGGAGGGGTTCAACGCTGCAGGGGAGGCTCGCTCGGCCCGGCTGGAGAATCTGACGTATTGTCATTGTCGTCTGTCACTCTCCTCTCCCCCTCTCACGTTCCCCCTAAAGCCACACAATGGCAGGCGGAGGGGTGCAAGCAACGCTGCAGTGGCTTTTGAGTCGACTCAAAAGTCACCTCAGAGGGGTACAACGCCGCAGTGGCTTTTGAGTCGACTCAAAAGTCACCTCAGAGGGGTGCAACGCCGCAGTGGCTTTTGAGTCGACTCAAAAGTCACCTCAGAGGGGTACAACGCCGCAGTGGCTTTTGAGTCGACTCAAAAGTCACCTCAGAGGGGTACAACGCCGCAGTGGCTTTTGAGTCGACTCAAAAGTCACCTCAGAGGGGTACAACGCCGCAGTGGCTTTTGAGTCGACTCAAAAGTCACCTCAGAGGGGTACAATACAACGCCGCAGTGGAGGCTCGTCTGGCTCCACCAAAAGAATCCAACGGCTTGTCATTGTCGTTTGTCTCTCTCCCCCCCCCCTCCACCCCCCGCGTGTGACGTGCCTGCCCGCTGTTGCCACTCGTACATCCCAGGCGGAGGGGTACAATGCTGCAGTGAAGGCTCGTTTGGCTTGGCTCCACCAAAATAACCGAACTGCTTGTCATTGTCGTTTGTCTCTCTCCCCTCATACATCCCAGGCGGAGGGGTACAATGCTGCAGTGGAGGCTCGCTTGGCCCGACTGGAGAATCTGACGGCTTCCCTGGCGGATGCCCATTCACACACACACCAGGCTGCTGCTGAGGTACTGTATTGTAACTGGGTGTGGCTGTATACATAGGATCATGTTCCTCGACTGGAGAATCTGATGGCTTCCCTGGCGGATGCCCATTCGCACACACACCAAGCTGCTGCCGAGGTACTGTATTCTAGACGGGTGTGTGACTGTAGACGGGTGTCACTGTATAGACGGCTATTCCTGTATGGATGGGTGTGAATGTATAGACAGGTATTACTATATAGATGGGTGTGATTGTATAGACAGGTATCACTGTATAGATGGGTGTGACTGTATCGACAGGTATCACTGTATGGATGGGTGTGACTGTATAGACAGGTATCACTGTATAGATGGGTGTGACTGTATAGACAGGTATCACTGTATAGATGGGTGTGACTGTATAGACAGGTATCACTGTATAGATGGGTGTGACTGTATAGACAGGTATCACTGTATAGATGGGTGTGACTGTACAGACAGATGTGGCCATTGTTGGGTGTGATTGCACGCTGATGTGACTCTGCTTACACATGTGACAACGCAACAAACTTCATGGGGTTCAGTCTCCTATCACAGGTAACCATGGGTTATTGTGACTGGACCAGGGCATTTACATGCGTGAGTGCCCTATGCTGATTGACCACATGTGCTCACATCCCCATCTGTTCCCTCTCACCTTTACTTGGGCTTGCAATAACCATGGAGATGTTTACTGACGGGGAAGAGGATTCATGTAACGCATGCAAGCATGGATATGCCTATGTCTTATCTTTCCCAGGGATTGAAAGGATGTTACTTGTCATATGCATGTCATCTGTTCACACCATGGGCTGGGCACGGCATGTATGTAAAACAGCCAATCTCTTAGCCGCACTAATTATTATGCTACTTGTTGCTACTCTGTACATCTATGCTGCTGCCTTACCAATAGATTCAACCCCACTTTTTCTTTTCATCTGTTGCTACTCCCTGCAGGCTCAACAGTAAAGCTGGTTCAAAGTGTTGTTTGCATACTCAGAATGTCTACTGTACACCACAAGGGCACATCAATTGCATCTGCAGTCAGTCATGTATTCGTGCTAGAAGTTATCAATAACATGTTGAATGCTTCGAGTGCCATAGCGTCTAAGCCTTCCAGTTGTAAAATTGTAAGGCAAGTCATACGTATTATATGAGGTTGTACAGTAAAATACAATACGGTATCACCACCATTGACATCCATATCCTTCCTGCTGCCATCCCAACAGCCTGTACACGCAACACAGCATTCAAAACGGAGGTACAAAGCAACATGGGGGATGGGATACAGACAATGTTAGGTTTTTTGTGTTGCACATACGGCACTGCAGAAAGAAGTGCGAGGAGGAGAGTTGCGTGGGCAGCAGTGACGGTTGCAGTCTGAACAGGCGAGGAGAGGGTGGACAACTCTAGAGACGCTGCAACGCACACGCGCTACGTGACCATCCCAGCACCACGGTAAACAACCCACACAATGCGATCAGCTCTTGCGGTTCTACAACTCGAGTGAGCATCGGCAACCCGCAAGCCAAACTCTTAGGGGGAGAGAGTGCGCCTAACACACACCCCGCTTTGAGGTTCGAACACGTGGCCCGTGCTGAAATACGACTCGCCCTGACTTTCACTGCGTCGAGTTTTGAGTCGACTCAATTCCCCCCACACACTAACACACTAACTCCCCCCACAAAACTTGAAATAAGACTCGCCCTGACTATCACTACGGGCCGAACTTGAAATGATTGATGGACTCGATGATCCCTCCCGCCCACCGCTTGGTCGCTCGAAACACATGGTCTGTGCTGTAGTGCTGTGCTGTAGTGCTGTGCTGTGTTGCATGCTCACTACACACAGGATGAGAGACTCACCGGTGCTACTGGGGACCGAACTTGAAGTGATTGATGGCTTCGATGATCCCTCCTGCACACCGCTTGGTGGCTCGGAACACATGGTCTGTGGTGTGGTGTGGTGTGGTGTGGTGTGGTGTGGTGTGGTGTGGCGTGGTGTTGCATGCTCAATCACTAACAAGGATGAGAGACTCACCGGTGCTACTGCGGGCCGAACTTGAAGTGATTGATCGCTTCGATGATGCCTCCCGCACACCGCTTGGTCGCTCGGAACACGTGGTCTGTGCTGTGGTGCGCCCTGTGCCACTCCACCAGCTCCTCCATTGCGTTGGACACCTGTGAGGGGAAGAGGGGGAGAGAGAGAGAGACAAAACACATGATTCGTGCGGTGCGGTGCGGTGCTCTGCTGTGGTGTTGTGGTGCGCCCTGTGCCACTCCACCAGCTCCTTGGATAGCTGTGAGGGGAAGGGGAAGACAAGGAAACACGATTGGTGGTGTGCGGTGCTGTGCGATGCTCTGGTGTGCTGTAGTGCCCTGCAGCGCGCTCTGGTGTGCTGTAGTGCCCTGCAGCGCGCTCTGCTGTGCTGTAGTGCCCTGCAGCGCGCTCTGCTGTGCTGTAGTGCCCTGCTGTGTGCTGCAGTGCGTCCTGTGCCACCCCACCAGCTCCTCCATTGCGTTGAACACCTGCCAGGATAAGGGGGGGAATATGGATACACGATTGGTGGAGCCCAGTGCACTGCTGTGTGTGTGCCGCTGTGCGGGGCTCTGCTGTGCGGTGGTGCGCCCTGTGCCACTCCACCAGCTCCCCCATCGCGTTGGATACCTGCAGTGGGCGAAGGGGAAGGAGATGGCCGACTTGGGTTGTGCTGTGTGGATACCTGATACCTGCCAGGAGAAGAGGGGAAGGAGGAAAGAATACGCCCCTTCCACTTTGAACAGCTCTGCATCGCTGCCCGAGTCACACAGAAAAAGCCCCCACTCTGCTGCCTAAACCACAGTCACCAGAGTCTCCCCTCAATACACCCCTTCGTACAGCCACCACCCTCCCCCCTCCACTTACAATCACACCATAAGCCCCCTCCAATACAAACAGCTCTGCATCGCTGCCCGAGTCCCCACACGTCAGCGAGAGCGTTTAGGCGGGCTGCCACTGTGCGCCAAGCATGCCACACCAGAGCCACCCCTCAACACAGCAGCATAAGCACCCCCCTTCCACTTACAATCACGCCGTAGGCCCCCTCCACTTCGAACAGCTCTGCATCGCTGCCCGAGTCCCCACATGCCAGCGTGTGCTGACTAGCTTGGCTGTAACTCTGCTGCCCAAGCCACACAGACTCATCGCAGCAGGTGCAGTGTGGCATGGCACACCAAACCAAAATCACCACTCAGCTTGATACAGCAGCACGAACTTTCCCTCCTTCCACTTACAATCACGTCATACGCCCCTTCCACTTTGAACAGCTCTGCACCGTTGCCCGAGTCATATGGGAGGATTGCCACTCTGCTGCCTAAACCACAGACACCAGAATCACCCCTCAGTGCACCCCTCAATATAGCCACACCCTTCCCTCCTCCACTTACAATCACACCGTAAGCCCCCTCCACTTCAAACAGCTCTGCATCGTTGCCCGAGTCCCCACATGCCAGCGTGTGCTTAGGCGCCCCCCCACTGTGCTGCGTGAACTGCCGCAGCAGGTATGCCATGGCCTGCCCCTTGCCCGCCCTCTCTGCTGCTTGCACTGCCGCAGCAGGTACGCTAAAGCAGAAACATCAGGCACTCCTGTACAACCGCCACCCGCTTCAAGAACCATCCCTCCACTTACAATCACACCGTAGGCCCCCTCCACTTCGAACAGCTCTGCATCGTTGCCCGAGTCCCCACACGCCAGCGTGTGCTTAGGAGCGCTGCCACTGTGCTGCGTGAACTGCCGCAGCAGGTATGCCATGGCCTGCCCCTTGCCCGCCCTCTCAGGTAGAATGTCCAGATCGTACCCCCCACTGTATATCACCTTCGCCTTCAACTGGGGTAGGGGGCAGGTGGGGAGAGGTGGGGGGAAGGGGGAAGAAGAGAGGAGAGAGTAGCACACATCAGCGAAGGCCAGCGTATGCCTGGGGATGGGGTGGGGACTGGCAAAGGCAGGGTGACAGGGAGACAGGGTGCATCTGGGAGGGGGGGAGCGCTGCCACTGTGCTGCGTGAACTGACGCAGCAGGTATGCCATGGCCTGCCCCTTGCCCGCCCTCTCTGGTAGAATGTCCAGATCGTACCCCCCGCTGTATATCACCTTCGCCTTCAGCTGCATGGTTGGTACGCAGGGAGAGAGGATGGGGAGGGACGGGAAAGAGAGGGAGTTGTGAGCGGCAGGCAGAATGTCGAGATCGTACCCCCCGCTGTATATCACCTTCGCCTTCAGCTGCGTGGGGGTGAAGGCAGGGTGAAAGAGGAGGGAGGGTTAGTGTGTGGGGGGAATTGAGAAGGACTGAGGAGCGGCAAGAAGAATGTCTAAACTGTAACCCCCACGTATGTCACCTTCGCCTTGGGGGAAGGGGAAGTGGGGGGTGCGGGGTTGGGGGTGGAAAGAAGTGAGGAGCAGCAAGGAGAAGTCCAGGTCGTACCACTGTACACTTGCAAATCCATAGACATTGCCACCTTGTGCACCTACTACAATCTCGTTCTCCTACAGTCACGTACCCCTCGCTCCACAAGCTTGCTCCTCAGCTCCTCCGCCACGTTGCCTGCCTGGTCCTTCTCCAGGTGAAAGCTCATCTTGATTTGATGGACTACACTGAAAATACCTGTTCTTCTCAATACAGTCACATTCTTCTACAGTCACATACCCCTCGCTGTGCCAGCTTGCTCCTCAGCTCCTCCACCACGTTGCCTGCCTGGTCCTTCTCCAGGTGAAAACTGACCTTGTGCGGCTTCAAGCCACACACACACACAAACGCCTACGATGATCCAATAGTCCCACACTTGTACAGTCACATTCCTCTACAGCCACAACCACGTACCCCTCGCTGCGCCAGCTTCCCCCTGAGCTCCTCCACCACGTTGCCCGCCTTGTCCTTCTCCAGGTGAAAGCTGACCTTGTGCGGCCGCTGCTCTGAGTCCACCTGTGACAGTTAAGAGAGCAGTGGGGAAACGGGAGAAGTGAAACGGAGGTACAGAAACCCGACTTTAAGTAGTCAGGAGAGCGATCAGGAGAGTGGTCAGGAGAGTGGTCAGGAGAGTGGTCAGGAGAGCGGTCAGGAGAGTGGTCAGGAGAGTGGTCAGGAGAGTGGTCAGGAGAGCGGTCAGCTTTGAGCTTTGAGAAACGTGAGTGGATCACCTCAAAGCTGGCTGCAATTAGGAGGTCTAAAGAGCCAGTTTGAATAAACAACACTCACCTGAAAAATCACCTGACAAAATCCAAGTGAGGTTTCATTGGCTTGCTCCACCACGGCCTGTCTGTCCCACCCATCGTCCAGATACTCCTCCCACCCCCTGTCCCGCTGCAATGAACCTCCCCAGTCATCACCAACCGTCCTGACACGCCCAGAAAGAAACCTACCTAAAATCCTCCCCAAACCCCAACAACCCACCTGGAATCGCAGCTGGGGGAAGCCCTTCGCCACGTCCACCACGGCCTGTCTCTCCCACCCACCCATCGTTCTGTTGCTCCTCCCACCTGCTCCTGCGACACCTACGGAGAGAGCGAGACACACCTGGAATCGCAACTGGGGGAGGCCCTTCGCCACATCCACTACAGCCTCCCTGTCCCACCCATCGCACAGGTGCTCCTCCCACCCCTTGGACCGGCTGCAGTGAACAGCCCCAGTCATCAAGCCTCTTGAGACGACTAACAAAGAGACTCACCTGGAACCGTAACTGAGGAAAGCCCTTAGCGACGTCCACCACAGCAGCCCTGTCCCACCCGTCGTTCAGGTACTCCTCCCACCCTTGGTCCGGCTGCATGGACGCGCCATAGGTGATCTCCGTGCCCACTGACATGATCACAATGTCTGGCGAGGGGACGGGGCAGCGGGGTAACGAGCGGGTTGAATGAAAAGGGAGAGAAGGCCAAGGTGCTCCTCTGTCTGGCTGCATGGACGCGCCGTAGGTGATCTCCGTGCCCACTGACATGATCACAATGTCTGGCGTAATGGTGGAAAGAGTGGGTTGAAAAGAAACGGGAGGGAGGGCCGAGGCAGTCCTCCCACCCCCTGTCCGGCTGCATGGACGCACCGTAGGTGATCTCCGTGCCCACTGACATGATCACGATGCCTGGCGGCGAGGGGAAGAGCAATGGTGGGGAGAGTGGGTAAGAAAGGGGAGTGAGGGCCGAAATACTCCTCCCGCCCCCTCTCTGGCTGCATGGACGCGCCGTATGTGATCTCCGTGCCCACTGACATGATCACGATGCCTGGCGGCGAGGGGAAGAGCAATGGTGGGGAGAGTGGGTAAGAAAGGGGAGTGAGGGCCGAAATACTCCTCCCGCCCCCTCTCTGGCTGCATGGACGCGCCGTATGTGATCTCCGTGCCCACTGACATGATCACGATGTCTGGCGGCGAGGGGATGGGATGTGGGGAATGAGGAGAAGAGGACAAATCAAGAGATTGGGGGAATAAACATGAAGAGATGTGGGCGCGCCATAGGGGATCTCCGTAAGCACTGACTTGATGACGATGTCTGGCGAGGAGGGACGGGATGGGGGAGGTGGGTTGGGGGAGGGACGGGATGGGGGAGGTGGGTTGGGCGAGGAGAGGGGAAGAGTGCAGGACTAAAGAGATGTGGACGCGCCATAGGGGATCTCCGTATCCGCTGACTTGATGACGATGTCTGGCGAGGAGGGACGGGAAAAGATGGAAGTGGACCGTGATGATGATGGGGGGATCGTGATGATGATGGGGGGATCGTGATGATGATGGGGGGATCGTGATGATGATGGGGGGATCGTGATGATGATGGGGGGATCGTGATGATGATGGGGGGATCGTGATGATGATGGGGGGATCGTGATGATGATGGGGGGATCGTGATGATGATGGGGGGATCGTGATGATGATGGGGGGATCGTGATGATGATGGGGGGATCGTGATGATGATGGGGGGACCGTGATGATGATGGGGGGATCGTGATGATGATGGGGGGATCGTGATGATGATGGGGGGATCGTGATGATGATGGGGGGACCGTGATGATGATGGGGGGACCGTGATGATGATGGGGGGACCGTGATGATGATGGGGGGATCGTGATGATGATGGGGGGATCGTGATGATGATGGGGGGATCGTGATGATGATGGGGGGATCGTGATGATGATGGGGGGATCGTGATGATGATGGGGGGACCGTGATGATGATGGGGGGACCGTGATGATGATGGGGGGACCGTGATGATGATGGGGGGATCGTGATGATGATGGGGGGATCGTGATGATGATGGGGGGATCGTGATGATGATGGGGGGATCGTGATGATGATGGGGGGATCGTGGCAGGAAAGATGGGAGATTGGAAGAGGGTTGGAAGTGGGTTGAATGAAAGTGGTGTAAATTCCAAGCAAGCAACTCACCAGGCGTGAGCAGCGACACTTGGCTCTTGAGTCGGTTGTAAAGGGTGGGGGAACGGCCAGTGCAGTAGACGAGACTTCTGCGGCGCTGCACGAATAACCTACTATCCTAGAGACAATCAACTCACCAGGCGTGAGCAGCGGCACTTGGCCCTTGAGTTGGTTGTACAGGGTGGGCGAGCGGCCAGTGGAGTAGACGAGCAGCAAATCGCGCGCGAACGTGGACTGCCACAGCGATGCATACGCCCCTGCACTCGCCTGTAGGCTGTACCCCTAGCGCAGCGACTCGTGATTGGGATCCCTTGTGGTCCCGTGCGCGTATGGACCGCCACAGCGACGCATACGCCCCTGTATACCCCGCGAACAAGCGACTCACTTGTATTCCCTAAAGCAACGTACCAGGCGTGAGCAGCGGCACTTGGCTCTTGAGTTGGTTGTAGAGGGTGGGCGAGCGGCCAGTGGAATACACGAGCAGCGAGTCGCGCGCGAACGTGGACTGCCACAGAGACGCGAACTCGCGCAGCGACTCGTGGTTGGGATCCTTGTGGTCCACCTGATCAGGTTAAAGGAACAGAAAGAATCAGATGGGATTAAAGACCCCGTGACAGAACGGGGCCGCGTGTGGAAAATTAGATTCAAATGAAGACTAGGTCGAGCGAGAGGAATTCGATGTGAGAAACAAAGAAACTTATGAGTTCGAGGCCTGAAGACCAGGAACAGACGATCAGACATGGAATCTGGTAAGTGGAATAATCACCATGGTGTTGTCGAGGTCAGATACGATCATGAGGTTGATGCTTCGCTTGAAGATGTCGCTACCGTCCGACGCACCCGAAGCAGCCATGACAACTGCCGATCGCCGATTACTAACGTTCGCCGGTGATCGCGAGCGAATCCGGAAGTTACCCACTGACGGGAGAAATCGCGTTGCTGTTTGTGTGATTGTGTCGCTTGACGAGGCCGATCTTAGCGCGTACGGTGGAGACTGAGGATGAAAATCTGAAAGTGATTTGTGGAGCGAGCCTGATAAGGATCCGCGAACCGCGAGAGTGGCTGATGGGATCTGAGCAACGGTCAGAAAGTTCAGCGTTGACATTCGGATCGGCTAGTAGCCTTGGCCCAGCTGAAATACGAATCCCTCTCGGGGATCTTAGAAGCGCGTGTAATGTGATGAGGAGCAGGACGCAACAAAGCGCCTCGACTATGCTGAAAAAAAAAACGAATGTTACTCTCACCCGTGCAGTTCAGTGCACGGTAAGGCTCTGAATGACCGAGAGGCGGACAGATTCCAGAACGACGGAATCGAGCAGGCCGTTTTGGCTCTGTTCTGCTGCAGCCGTGCTGTTGACGGCACCGAATGGCTGCCTACCGACAGTTGGAGATGAGAGATTCCCAAGGACGACGAAAATCCTGCAGAGAACTGCTTGCAGAGAACTGCCTGCATTGACTGAATCCCGCGATTACCTCGGTATTGTCTGGTGCATTGCGCTCAAAATCGGTGAAATGTAAACATGGGTGCTAACCGTGAAGAAGCTTACTGAACCGCACTTTGATCAGTCCATCCCAGCAAATGCGGCTTCAGGGAGGCTGTCCTGGACAGCTGAAAATAGTACGTGTTGTCCACTAGACTTCCCCGCTTTAATGTCAGCGGATTAGCACCACACTAATACAGTATTGGACTAGTATGTGTAGCAGCTAAGTGAGCATAACCTTATTTGTTAGCAATCGAACCAAGACAGCATTAGGAAAGTTTCCTGAACGTCAATCTGAGTTCTGCTTTCCCAATGTATTTAACACATCGTTTTCTTTTCTGCTCGCCTCCCACTGCTGGACCCTGTTTCCCTGCCATTGCTTGTTCCCCTAATGCTGGTGGAACACCACCACCAGCTGCAGCAGCAGCACCGGCAGGGAACGTGGATGGGCCTGATGCGTTGCTGGGAGGAGCGGAGGCAGCAGCAGGCACAAGAGCTGCAACAGAGAGCAAAGCGGATGGTTAGAAACGGAAAAATACTGCACAAACAATTGTCTCGATGTTTCTCTGAGGAGAGCTGGTTGGAGCACAAAACAACCAGGCTGGTATCACAGGGGGTCACAGCGACTTGTGCTCCCAAAAAGTGCTTCCCTCCTCTCCCCCTCATGCCCCTTACCCCTTACCCCTCAATCTCTCATGGGCACAAACGGGTGAGACGGAAATAAAGACAAAATTTTCCCATCAGCTTACTCTCTTGGAAGAAGAGGCAGGAACCCAGAGTCTCCTCAAAGTCTCCAACCTGGAGGGACAAGGGCATTGAAGCGGACCATTTGAATGTGAGGCTGAATCTGCTTCTTTGACAAGGGCATTGAGGTGGTTGATTCGAATGTGAGAGAGAGGGAAAGATGACTTTTGAGCCGACTCAAAAGTCACCCGGATGGACACGGGCATTCAGGTGGTTGATTCAAATGAGAGAGAAGGGTGGACGCACAGGCTGAATCGGTTCTAAAACATATCAGAAAACTTTTGCTTTAGCTATCATATCGTATCAGAAAACTATCATATCGGTTCAGAAAAATATCTCCCATTGACAGAACGTGTAATGTGATGCAGGAGGGAGAGGGGTAATGTGCTATGGGAGGCGGGGGGAATGGTAATGTGGGAGGGCAGGACACTGAGACAGGGCACTATAATGACCAGGGTCATGTGAGGCACTGCCCGTGCATCACGTGAGAAAGAGGGGCAAAAATCACAAGGGATATACCAAGCCATGGTAGTACTGTGCTTTCCATATACTGGTTTCGGGTTTAGTGTTGAGAGTTTTAGGGTCTGAAGATGATGTGGTTGATGATGACGTGGGTGGCTTACCAGTGACGCCACTAATGACGACGTGGCTTACCAGTGACGTCACTAATGACGACGTGGCTTACCAGTGACGTCACTAATGATGACGTGGCTTATGCTAACGTGGCTTACCAGTGTGCTGCCATCTGGCAGGTGCAGTGTTGGCGACTCTGACTCCAGATTCTGGATAGGACACGTGCCACAAAACGCAGGGCATCATAACTCAACACACGTCGATTTACACAAACACAAAATTCAGCTCATCCAACCAGAATATAGCTTCATGAATGTGCGAGTGTGCGCGCACCGCACACGTGCATACATGGACACAGCGACCATCTGAACTGAACCACGCATTTCAGGACAAAAGCGAGAAAAAAAAAGCAAGAAAGGACGAAGAACTCATTCCCCATCACATGCGACAACCATTGCAACTACCCTCATGACTAGTCCCCTTCACAGATATTCCTTTTCTGAACTATTCCCCTCGCTCTATGATTAGCCCTCCCTATGTTCTGCCCGCCTCCACCCCTCCCCTTCAAGCCCTTATAAAACCCCTCACTATTCAGCTCGCACTACAGAATTTTTAGAAATCAGTTGCACTAAGGAGAATGAAAAAAAAAGGAATAAAAAAAGGGATAAAAAGCACCCCGCTCCTAGCCGCTTTTAACCCGCGTAAGTGCATGGCTCCCCCATGCTTACCTCGATAATGAGTCGGCAATTCCGAGGCAGCCTCCTAACTGCCTGGCTCAAATCCAAATACACGTACTCTTCCTCCTCCTCTTCCTCCTCCTCGTCTTCCTCCTCTGCCTTTTCTTCCTCCTTTTCCTTATCCTCGTCTTTTTCTTTGCCTTTCTCGTCTTCCTCCACTTCCTCTTTCTCTTTCTCCTTCTCGCCTCCCTCCTCCTCCTCTTCTGCATCCCCTGCTTCCTCCCTACCCTCCTCTTCACCCGCCACTCCCTCCTCCTCCTTCCATTGTTCCCCCTCCGGACGTATCTCTCCCCCGTGAATTCCCTTTGCGTCTTTCCCCCCTCCTTCCCTTTCTCCCTCTCTCTCTTTCTCACCTTCCCTCAGCCCCCCCTCGTCCACCGCTCCCCTCTCCTTCCGTTGGCCCCCCTCCGGACGCACTTCTACCCCCCTTGAACTCTCTGCTTTTCCTCCTCCCCCTTCCCTTGCTCCTTCTCGTCCTCCTCCCCCCACTTTTCCTTCGCTTTCATCTCCTTCCTCTTCCCATTCTTCGCTTCTACCTCCTCCCTCGTCCCTTTCTCCCGCTTCGCTTTCATCCTTTCCTCGTCGACACTCTTCTCTTTCCTCTCTCTCTCCTCCACCATCATCCGTCAATCCCCACGCATCTCCCTCTTCCCGCATTTCCTCCCCTTCCCCTCCTGTACTGCGAACATGACTGTCGCCGTCACGAAATTGACTGTCGCCGTCACGAAATTGACTGTCGCCGTCACGAAATTGACTGTCGCCTTCACAAAATTGACTGTCGCCTTCACAAAATTGACTGTCGCCGTCACGCGCAAGGCGGTCGCCGTCACGAACATGACCCTCTCCGTCACTAACATGACCGTCGTCGTCACGAGGAGGACGGTCGCCGTCAGGAATATCGGCCGTCATCAGCACCGTCTCTTGCTCACCACCCGCCTCCTGTGCGCGTGCCTTTCAGAATCGCGTTTCCACACTAAAAACACATAAACCCCGTTGTAAGTAGCAGGCTTGGTACGTCGCAGATAGGCTTTCGCTCAGTGCTTGCTCGGAATGGATAACAAGAAGGGAAGTTTTGAAATGGTGGGATGAGATGGGATGATCAGTGCTTGCACAAGGAGCTCTGGGTCTGATGATCACACTTATTCGCGCTGCAGACAGCATGTATACGATCAGGCTCAATTCGATCATATCCGTACAGACATGCTAACAGAGAAATACGTGCTAAAACCAAACAAAATAACATCTTGTTTTTTGTCATCATGCTCCTACACAAGGATTAAAAAGCAAGAAAAATATGTACATGCAAAACTAGATGGAGGTCACTTGGCAAGCGATGCCAAAATCCGCCTAGGAGGCTCAAACAACGATGCACAGAAAGGTTATCCACCAATAGCACGTCGCCACGTCGCCACGTCGCCACGGCGCACCCACTGCCAACCGCTCCCTCTCCTCCTCCCCGCCAGTACAACCTCCCCCGGTAACGCCTTCCTCCCCCCCATCTACAAATGTACATGCGAAACTGAGGAAATTCACTTGGCAAGGGATGCCAGGATCCGCCTAGGGGGCTCAAACGACCGCCGGGAGTGCTGCATGGCAATACTAGGGCCTCCCTCCCCCAGTAGCACCTCCCTGTTGCCCAATCCTACATGAAAAACTGGAGAGATGTCACTTGGCAAGCGATGCCAAGATCCGTCTGGGAGGTCCAAACGTCCGCTGGGAATGATGCACAGAAAGGTTATCCACCAATCGCACGTCGCCACGGCACAGCCACTGCCAACCTCTCCATTTCCTCCTCCACCACCAGTACAGCCTCCCCCGGTAACACCTCCCCTCCCCATCTACAAATGTACATGCAAAACTGAGAGGAAATTCACTTGGCAAGGGATGCCAGGATCCGCCTAGGGGGCTCAAACGACCGCCGGGAGTGCTGCACTGTGAGGTTATCCACCAATAGCACGTCGCCACGTCGCCACGGCACAGCCACTGCCAGCCGCTCCATCTCCTCCTCCACTGCCAGTACAACCTCCCCCGGTAACGCCTCCCCGTCGCCGAATGTAACCGCCTTGGTCGGATCGTTACGCACGTCCTTCCACCCTGTGTAAGCTGCTACCATGCTGTTGAACCACGCCTCCCGAACCTCTTCCCCCCGAACCTCTTCCTCCCGAACCTCCCCCTCCCCAACCTCTTCCTCCCGAACCTGTTCATCCCGGACCTCTTCCTGAGCAACACGAGGTTTTGTGGAGAGGCTCGGTAGAGGCCTGGTGTCAACCCTAAGCGCGGGGATAGGCCCAGAAACAGTCCGAACGCTGCCGTCCGCCTGCCACTCCAGCTTCACCCCTAGCTTTGCCGCCCTGCAAGGCAGCGGGAAGGGTGGTGGGGAGTGGAGAAGTGGCGTAGGGTGGAGGGTGGAGGGAGAGTGCGAATGGGAGAGTGCGAATGAGAGAGTGCGAATGGGAGAGTGCAAATGGGAGAGGGCGGAGGGAGAGTGCGAATGGGAGAGTTGAGTTGAAGGGCCGGAAGTAGCAACAGATAGGAGCATTGGCGGGCGATCGCTGTCGTCTGCCTGCCACTCCAGCTTCATTTCAAGCTTTGCACGGGAGGGGCAATGGGGCAAGGTTAGGGACAGAGCGAGGGGCATTTTGAGGCGCCTCAAAAGAAATCCGCGTGTAGTGAGGTGCATTTTGAGGCGCCTCAAAAGAAATCCGCGTGTAGTGAGGTGCATTTTGAGGCGCCTCAAAAGAAATCCGCGTGTAGTGAGGTGCATTTTGAGGCGCCTCAAAATGTCGTCTGCCTGCCACTCCAGCTTCACCCCTAGCTTTGCACGGGAGGGGCAACGGGGCTAGGTTAGGGGGCGAGGGGAGTGTTAGGTTCGGGGGCGAGGGGAGTGTTAGATTAGGGGGCGAGGGGAGTGTTAGGTTAGGGGGCGAGGGGAGTGTTAGGTTCGGGGGCGAGGGGAGTGTTAGGTTCGGGGGCGAGGGGAGTGTTAGGTTAGGGGGTGAGGGGAGTGTTAGGTTAGGGGGCGAGGGGAGTGTTAGGTTCGGGGGCGAGGGGAGTGTTAGGTTCGGGGGCGAGGGGAGTGTTAGGTTAGGGGGCGAGGGGAGTGTTAGATTAGGGGGCGAGGGGAGTGTTAGGTTAGGGGGCGAGGGGAGTGTTAGGTTCGGGGGCGAGGGGAGTGTTAGGTTCGGGGGCGAGGGGAGTGTTAGGTTCGGGGGCGAGCGACATGACTTCAAAAAAAGGAAGACAAAGACAGGGAAAATAAAACGTTCAAACAACCTTCTAAACAAGCGGGATGTAATCACGGCACACATACGGTATTAAACAAATATGTAAAAGTGTCGAGAGTGGGATTTGAACCCACGCCCTTTCGGACTGGAACCTTAATCCAGCGCCTTAGACCAACTCGGCCATCTCGACACACTGCAAGCAACCCGGCTGGGTCCAGCAGCGAGGAGGGAGAGGGGGGCGAAGAGGGGAGGGGGAAGAGGGGGGAGACGGGGGAAAACGGGGAGAGGGGAGGGGGGAGAGGAGGAGAGGGGAAGGGAGAGGGAAGAAGGGGGAGAGGGGAGGGGGGGAGTGAAGCCAGGTGAGAGTGAGGGTTGGAGGGGGGTTGGAGGTGGGCGGCAGCTAAGTGGGAATATACGCGTATAGCGTATATACGCGTGTCGTATATACGCTAGCGTATATACGCTATCCGCTTAGGGGTCCGGTTTGCAGATACGCTTTTTCGGGCAGAGGAAAAACTTTCCGGGCAGGTGAAAAAAGTACTCCCTCTTCTTATTAAAGCTTGCCCTAGCATAATCCTGAATCCGAATGACTAGTACAATGGGAGGTGGAGTAGACCTAATAGCTTGAAAGCGAAGTAGCGTGAACTCTGGTGAAAGCGGGAACGAAATGACGAGTTAGGGTTAGCCAAAAGGGTTGGCTGGTAAGTACCCTGAGATTTGTTGGGGGGTTAAATTTGACAGGTTGGTGTTTGTAGATAAAGTGGGGTTCAATGTGGTAGAAGGGATGGATTTCAATCCCTATATGGATCTCAAATTCAAGATTTGCCAGACGACTTCGAAGTCAGATCCCCGTTTGCCTAGACCGCGGATTTGAATTTCGACTATGGCGAAATGCTCACCTAGGAATTCCGCATCTTTTTTGCGATTTTTTTTCGGGCAGCCCTAAATTTTTTCTGATAGCGTATAGCGTATTCGCTAGCGTATAGCGGATAGCGTATGTACGCTAGCGTACATACGCTATACGCTTAAGGTGTTAAGCGTATATTCCCACTAAGGGCGGCAGGTGCATGCGGTCCAAACAATGCCGCCCGTCTGCCACTCCAGCTTCACTCTCTTTGCCAGCCAGAAGAGATTGAGTTTCTGACTTCCACCCCATTCCATCGGGTCTGCTCGGGGTGACTTTTGAGTCGACTCAAAAGCCACCTGCCACTCCAGCTTCACTCTCTTTGCCAGCCAGAAGAGATTCTGACTTACACCACTTCCACTGGGTCTGGTCTGGTTATCCTCCTCTACTGCCAGCACGCGCGCACACACACACAGCAGCCCCGTGGCGCTCATTCCCCTTCTCCACGCCCTTACAACTCACCTCTCCTCAGCCTCCTCCTAGCTGTCAACGAGGCAAGTGGACTTCCAACCCCTCCCAATCGCACTGCTCGGGTCATCCCCCTCTGGCAGCACGCGCACACACATACAGCAGCCCCTTGGCTCTCAGCCGAGCCACAAACGAGGGGTGTCTTTGCTAGCCCCTTGGGCCTCACATCCAATACCAAATCACTTCTCTTCAGCTTCCTGCTTGTCTTGCGTGAGGAACGTGGACTTCCATCCTCGCCCGATGGCACTGCTCGGGTCGTCCTCTTCTGGCAGAACGAGCACATACAGCAGCACCTTGGCTCTCAGCTGAGCTGTGCCGTGCCATGCATGAGAGGGGTGTGTGTGAGCCACCCCTACTAGCTACTAGCTACATGTGAAGAGCACTCACTTCTCCTCAGCCTCCTCCTTCCTGTCTGTCAGGAAAGTCGACTTCCATCCCCGCCCGATACCACTGGAAGGATCATCCTCCTCTGGCAGCACGCGCACACACAGCAGCCCCTTGGCGCTCAGGTGAACCTAGGCCCCCAGCGAGGGTTGAGTGTGGGCCACCCCCTACAAGCTAGTAGCTACATGTGAAAGTCACTCACTTCTGCTCAGCTTCCTCCTTGTTGTCAGTCAGAAACGTGGACTTCCATCCCCTCCCGATAGCACTGCTCGGATCGTCCACTTCCGGTAAAACACGCACATACAGCAGCCCCTTGGCCCTCAGCTGTGCCACGAACGAGGGGTGCTTCAGAGCCAGGCGGCGAGTCAGCTCGCAGGAAGGCAGGATGGGGGTTTCGCCCCCTGTGGCTGGAGGGGTCTCGCAGAAGAAGAAGAGGCGGGTGGGGTACTCGGGTACCTGGTAGGGAGCAAGGGGAGGAAAGGGCTAAGGTAAGGAAAGGAGGGGACCACTCGGCATGGCAGCAGCAGAGCGTGGCACATACAGCAGCCCCTTGGCTCTCAGCTGTGCTATAAACGAGGGGTGCGTGTGGGCCAGCCGGCGAGTCAGCTCGCACGAGGGTAGGATGGGGGTTTCGCCTCCGACTGCTGGAGGGGTCTCGCAGAAGAAGAAGAGGCGGGTGGGGTACTCGGGTACCTGGTAGGGAGGAAGAAGAAGAGACAGGGGTATGGAGGGAGGAGAGGGAGAACAGGGAGGAGGGCAGGCACAAGAAGGTGCACAAATGAGGGGTGCTTCAGAGCCAGGCGCCTGGTCAGCTCGCAAGACGGGAGAATGGGGGTTTCCCCTCCGACTGCTGGAGGCACCTGGCAGAAGAAGAAGAGGCGGGTTGGGTACTCGAATACCTGGTAGAGGGCAAGGTGCAGTGGAAGAAAAGGGGTGTGTGTGAGCAAGGAGTCTGGTCAGCTCGCAAGAGGGCAGGATGGGGGTTTCGCCTCCGCTTGCTGGAGGCACCTGGCAGAAGAAGAAGAGTCGGGTTGGGTATTCTGGTACCTGGTAGGGAGCAGAGAGGAGAAGAAAGGAGTGGGAGTGGGAGTGGGAGTGGGAGAGGGAGTGGGAGTGGGAGAGGGAGAGGGAGTAGGGGGAGGGAATGTAGCTTGAGCTGAGGCAGGGACTCAGCAGAGGAAGAGGCAGCGCACATACAGCAGCTCCTTGGTGCTCAGCTGTGCCACAAACGAGGGTTGCTTCAGAGCCAGGCGGCGGGTTAGCTCGTCGGAAGGGACTCTCACGAACTCCCCCCTCCCCTCACCTCACCCCCCTCGTCCCCTTTTTCCCCAACCCACAACTCTCTCCCCCAATCCCTCCTCGTCTCTCACCTGCGCCATCTCGTGGTGGAATGGAATCTTCTGATCCGGAGGCGACTCGTTTGCTGTGAACACACGTGGAGCTACCTGGGGTTAGCGAAGGATGGAGAGGAGTGGAGAGGGGTGGAGATGGATGGAGAGGGGTGAAGAGGGGTGGAGGGCAGTGAGTGGGGATGAGGTGAAATGGGATGGAGGAGAGCAGTGGAAGAAAGCGGAGGAGAGGAGAGTCATGATGTTGGAGACAAAGCGAGGGGCAAGCATGGAAGGCTGAGTGCGGTGAGAAGGCGTGAAGTGCGGTGAGGTGCGGCGAGGCGGAGTGCAGAAGGAAGAGCTTTAGCCTAGGGCACGGGGGGGGGAGACGGAGGAGGGAAGGGGCGGAAGGGGAGGGGATGGGAGAGGAGGGAGGGGAGAGGAGAGATGGGAAGTCAAGGAGAATTCGCATAGGGGAGAAAGGGGACGAACGCGTCAACCAATCACCTTCGTTCGTGGAGCCGCGCCGCCCACGTAAGACAGCTCGTCCAATCCGAAGGCCTCCACGACCTCGTTAAAGTCACATGGCGACTCGAGAGGCAAGCCCCGCAGCAGCACCGCGCCGTGCAGCTGCCACGTGTCCAGCAGCCATTCGCGGTTTGCGCGAATCCACTCGACCGCGTCGCTGACGCGAGGAGCTGCCGCGTCGGACGGGGAGGACTCTGACGCGGCGAGGGGAACGGTCTGGGGAGAAGATGAGGGGGAAGCGGGAGCGCATGCAGAAGGTGCGAAGGGCGCGGACGGTGCGGAGGGAGCGGATGTGCTCGCGGGATTCGGGAGTACGCGCGGCGTTAGGACGAGCGGGAAGGGCAGGCTATTAAAGATCTTCTGCTCCGGAATAGGCGACTCGACCAGCTGTAACAAACCGCCGCTGGCGCCGCCGCCGCCGCCGTTGGCGCTACTGTTATTGTTGTCGCCAGTCATGATGGATACGAGAGGTGGCGACGGGCGCGACTGGGTACTACTTCTCGTGCGATGGTTTGCGACAAGGAGTGTACGACGATGCGGAGGGCGACGCGTGCGACAGATAGGAAATTCAGGTGAAACGATAAACGAAAGGGAAGGGCAAGGTGCGTCGCATGCGAGGAGGAACGAATAGATGCGATTAGGCGACGCCAATCCCATGTGAAAGCGAGGAGGCGAGTGGGGGAGGGAATATTCGAATTTACCTTGCGTGAAATTCGATAAGAAGGGACGTCGTCAACGGCAAGAAACTTGCCTCAAACACTTTGATTCCCAGAAGTGCTTATATTCCTAAAAGCTCTGTTTATTAAAACAAAAGAAAATTAATGGAATGATACTTTTATTCTCACGTAAGGCTACATAATTTTGATTGTGTTTTTTGTTTTTTGAATGGTTGAATCTCTAAACAGCTCTCAGTTATTTACATATGATTTTTTCTCGATATAGTGGATCTGTTCTCACCTCCCCGTCAACAGGGTCAACAAATCCCTATGCCTGCTGGCACTGACTTCTCGTGTTACCACTGCCAGCAAGGAGCGTCGTCCGCTCACAAGGCATTTCGCAAATCAGCGAACTCAGTAGTGAGTTCGCTGCTCGTGTAGAAATTGCCTGGTTTGGTTTCGCGAATAGAACTACGGTATGGTAGCACATGCGTGGGTGGGTGGGTCCAACAAAGAGAGGGTTGCACTAGGCGGAAATTGTCAGACTCTCCATGACTTGGTATTCTTTATCCTGGGTTTGCTTTCTCAATTACCTCTCAGCATGCATTCCTTAGAAAGTGGACATTACACCACCGAACGTCGTCGCTCTAAGCAAGCACTCACACACAGTACCACCGAATTCCAGTTTCCAGTCCATTGCCTCTCTCTATTCTCACAAGCCCTCCCCAAAAGCATGAGCCTTCCTCCCTCCAAGATCTATCAATCGATACGCCTCTGCTGTGTCTGTCGCGAGTAAAATCCCCGTTTTGGAGTCTCCGGACCCTCCGCGGCAGCCGGCTGGTCTAGCTGCGCTTCTCCGTATACCAGTCCGCTATAACCATGGCACGAGCGCGCGAACCGCCACAGTCGGCTGGTCTAGTTGCGCTTTTTCTCGCCGTCCTTGCCTGCGGCATGTGCGCCTGCGCGCAAACTATGCCCCCATCCCAAGGTCTTCTGAGCGCATAGCTTGTTGCATTCTCAGAATGGAGAGGGAGGGAGGGAGGGGGCGAGGGAGGGAGGAGGGTGGGAGGGTTGGAGGGAGCGGGGGGGGGGAGGGAGTCGGGGAGGGAGGGAGGAGGGGAGGGAGGGAGAGGGGGGGGAGGGAGGGGGGGGAGGTAGGGAGGGGGTGAGGGAGAGAGTGGGGGAGGGAGGAGAGGGGGGAAAAGGGGGAGGGAAAGAGGGGGGGAGGGAGAAAGGGGGGTGGGAAAGAAGGGGGGACGGAGGGGGGAAAGCAGGGAGGCAGGGAGGCAGGGAGGCAGAGAGGGAGAGAACAAGAGAGAGGGAGAACGAGAGAGAGGGAAAGAGGGAGAGAGGGAGATTGAAAGGGAAAGAGGGAGGTGCTGCAAGAGTGGTGAGCAATGTCAGCCATTCAGCAGAGATAAATTACATGAGCGGCGTGTCAGCACAGAGCGCAGGGAGGAAAGAGTTGGGCAGGGGAGGGGACAGAGTCTCACCTCTCTTCCGCCATTGCTCATCCACGCGCACAACTGCATGCACTCCACTCCCATCCACACTACCTATCTTTTGAATGACTTCCCTCTTTTCCCCACCCTTCTCTTCTCCCCCCCCCCCTCCTCCCCTCTCCCCCCCCCCCCCCCCCCCCCCCCCCCCCCCCCCCCACCACACACACAACACACACACACACACACACGCACGCACGCACGCACGCACGCACGCACGCACGCACGCACGCACGCACGCACGCACGCACGCACGCACGCACGCACGCACGCACGCACGCACGCACACACACACGCACGCACGCACGCACTCACTCTCTCTCTCTCACTTCCTATCATCTGAACGACTTCCCTCTTCCATCCCCGGCCTTCTCTCTCACACACGCACTCACTCACTCACTCTCTCTCTCAATCTCACTTCCATTCCTTCCCCACTTATCACGCGTTTGTGTTTCCAGCGGACGTTATTTTCAAGCTGGGTCAGAATGCAGACCCGCTGACATCCGTACAAGTGGACCAGGATGGCATGGTTACCGCCCTGTACGCCGTCACTGCCATTCTCGTGCAGCTCTTTGCTGTTCGCTCTTCCTCTTCCCTCTTCCCTTGTCCACCTTCCTTCTTCCCTCTTCCCTCGTCCACCTTCCTTCTTCCCTCTTCCCTCGTCCACCTTCCTTCTTCCCTCCTCGCTCCTTCCTTCCCTCCTCCCCCCTCCTTCCTTCCCTCCTCCCTCCCTCCTCCCTCCCTCCCCCCTCCCTCCTCCCTCCCTCCTCCCTCTCTCCTCCTCCTCCTCCCCCCTCCCTCCCTCCTTTGTACGAATCACTTCGATCTTCAACTGGGTGAAATCCCATCATCCATGCATCACTTTTTATTGCAAACCGCCGCTGCACTTCGCTCCCCATTCCTTCGCCTCCTCCTCAACCGTTTCTTCTTTGAATTCTCCACCGCAACTTCTTCCCTCCCTCCCTCCCTCCCTCCCTCCCTCCCTCCCTCCCTCCCTCCCTCCCTCCCTCCCTCCCTCCCTCCCTCCCTCCCTCCCTCCCTCCCTCCCTCCCTCCTCCCTCCCTCCCTCCCTCCCTCCCCCACGCCCTCTTGCCCTGGGTCCGAGGAACATTTTCAGCTATTGGCAAGGGTCTTATCTGAGCACGTCCATTCCAGAGAGCATCAGCGCCCTCTCACGCCTCACTCTGCTGTGAGTGCAGCAGCAAGCACGGCACGAGTGCAGCAGCAAGGACTGCTTGAGTGCAGCAGCACGATGGGAGTACCAAAAGGGGGTATGTGAGTGGAGAAAGATGGAGGAGGAGAACGTTGTTGTGAGGGTATTAGAGATATTTTTTTTTTTTTCTGTGTGCGTGCACGTGCGCACATGCGCAAGCATGCATCCATGTGCATATGCTGCATGCTTCGTCTGCTTTCTCACCAGCCATGTTTCTCTCCCACCCTTCTCACCCCTCCCTTCCTTCTACCCAACATCAATCCCCCCCACCCACTCGTCCCCCTCACTCTCACACCCCACCTCAACTCCCCCGCCCTCCCCAGCGACCTGGGAGACACAGTGCTTAGCGGCTCTCTGCCCAAAACCATGAGCGCTCTCTCCAGATTGCAAGACTTGTCAGTCCCAGCGCCTCGCCTCTGCTCCCTTCCCCTCGCCTCCCATGTTCTCCTGTCCTCTCCTGCTCTTCCCTCCCTTCGCCTCCCCTCGCCTCTCCTCCCCTCCCCTACCCTCCTCCCCCTCCCCCTCCCCTTCCCCTCCCCTTCCCTCCTTGCCCTCCTCCCTTCCTCCCATACCTGCCTCTCGCCTCCCAGCGCTTCGTCTCGCCCTGTCACCTCCCACTGTGCCTTGCCACTACCTGCTTCGTTCCCAATAACTTCTGTCCGCTGCCCCAACGCTCAATCTTCCACAGGAAAACCGCTTCTTCTTGTAATTTCCCATTTCTAGACTGCTCGTGCTGTTCAATTTGCTGCTACACTTTCCATAGCCCCAATTCGCCATCCATCCGCCGTTCTCCTCCCACACACGCTCCAACACCCCACCTCCTCCCCAAGACTGCGCCTCGTGCAACACTGTGACCCACAGCGCCATTGCAAGGGCCTCAGAACAAATCAAGAGACGATTTGGTTATGAGAAATAAAGAAGACAAAAAACAAACGACTCACCTGCACGTCCCTGCCTCATGGCACCATTGCAGGAGTCTGGGGCACAACTCTCTCACCGGGAGCATTCCTGCATGGATCGCCTACATGACCGCACTCACTGCTCTGTGACTAACCACTGCCCCTACTACCCTTGCCCTCCCTTCCATGCTGGCCTATTCTGCCCTGACCAGCCTAGCCTGCCTCTCTCATCATCATGATATTCGTGCGTACTGAATTTCGGAGTTTTTTTCTCACAACGCCAATGCTGAAACTGGTCCTAGTTTCTTTCACAAAGTGAAGTGAGCGTCGAAGTAGGAAACCTGGTCAAACACAGTAAATGAATCATCAGCCATGCTTGCATTGCAGTTCTGCCTTTGGCCCACTGCTTGAAGGGCCACCCCCATGACTTTGTTTTTTGAGGCGCCTTAAAAATCGTCTTTCGAGGTGACATAAAAAAATGTCTTTTGAGGCGCCAAAAAATCGTCTTACTGCTTGATTGGCCACCCCCATGACTTTGCACATTCATTCCCTCCTCTCTCTCTCCTCTCCCTCCCCCCTCTGGACTCCCTCCTCCCACTGCTCATCTCGCGGTGTCAGCCGGCTGGACAGTAACAGGTTCACTGGCAGTCTACCATCGGGGCTAGCTGCACTCACGAATCTGCAAACGCTGTCAGTCGCTGTTTGCCTTGGGGGAGTGGTGGATGCATGTTGGGAGTGATGCTTGGTAGTGGTGCTTGCATGGGGGCCGTGGTGCTTGCATGGGGGCCGTGGTGCTTGCATGGGGGGTGTGCTGCTTTCGTGGGTAGTAATTGATGGGTTCGAAAGGAAGTAATTTGGACTTAAGTACAATGTGCTCAACATATGCTGCTGCACGAGCTCACGAGGGTATCTTATGGCGGATCTGAATGTACTTGGTGCGGTTGGAGTATAGGGACCTTGGTGATGTGGATAGTTCTCTTGTTATCAGACTAAGGAATAGGAATTTGCAGAGGATAACCGAGTTTGGCCCGTTTTGAGATAACGGGCCTTTTGGGCAGCTGGTTCCTGCCGAGTTAGCTTTTTTGAGAATTCTAAAAAAACAAGGGCAGCTGGTTCCTGCATAAGATTCGGCCAGTGAGATAGAGGGCAAACAAGTGGAGCGCCGACCCCACTGCCGAGGACGAACAAGTTAGAATCGTACAGCCTGCCCAAAGGGAGCACATTTCAGGCTCCGTAAACACTCTACAAAATGTCTATTTATAACCGTTGCAACATTCAAATGCCTGTCATAACTCTTTTTTTGGGGGGAGGGGGGGAGGGATGGGCACTGCTAACATTTTCCCCTAGTAGCCTAGTTTCCCCCAACCTGTGAGACCTTTGGATAGCCGTGATAAGAGTTGGAGTAAATGGTGGGATAGGTGGCTGATGGGGGCGGGAAGGGGGGGAACGGGCAAAGATTTAGGGATGGAGAGGGAGGGGCCTGGGAGTTGAGGGGAACATGGATTGCTTGATGACAGTGAAAAGATACTTGAATGAAGAGACCGAGTAGTTGAATACTTGACAGGGACCGAGAGTAAAATGCTCGGTTCGATCATTACTCATTTCACCTCGATATGCAGACCAAAGTTGGCAGACCTAACCCTAAGAAGGGTCTTCAGCTTTTCATGTACTTTTAATGCTCTTCCTTTCCCTCATCAGGAATGTTTCGTTCAACAGCCTGACTGGCAGCATCCCAGAGTCCATTGGCAACCTGGTTCAACTCTCAGACTTGTAAGAGCAACCCTAGTTCTTAGCACTAATTGCCTGTGAGTGGTGAAGCTGGCTTGAAGGCCGATCAGAGTACTAGGCACTAGTCCATGGCAATTAGGTGGCAACGGAAAATGGTGATGAGCAGAAGGTGTGCGGAGAGAAGCAGGTGGCACACTGAAGATGTGCGAGTAGCAAGCATGAGAGGTTGCACAAATGGCGCGGTTGGTGGGGACGATGTGTTTGGACAGCACGATCATACCTTGGAGTGGATGGCTGCAACTTGGAACAACGTGACGAGTTTGCGAAGTGGAGATGAACTTGGAGAGTGAAGCATGTGGCGAAGGGGGAGAGTGAAGCATGTGGCGAAGGGGGAGAGTGAAGCATGTGGCGAAGGGGGAGAGTGAAGCATGTGGCGAAGGGGGAGAGTGAAGCATGTGGCGAAGGGGGAGAGTGAAGCATGTGGCGAAGGGGGAGAGTGAAGCATGTGGCGAAGGGGGAGAGTGAAGCATGTGGCGAAGGGGGAGAGTGAAGCATGTGGCGAAGGGGGAGAGTGAAGCATGTGGCGAAGGGGGAGAGTGAAGCATGTGGCGAAGGGGGAGAGTGAAGCATGTGGCGAAGGGGGAGAGTGAAGCATGTGGCGAAGGGGGAGAGTGAAGCATGTGGCGAAGGGGGAGAGTGAAGCATGTGGCGAAGGGGGAGAGTGAAGCATGTGGCGAAGGGGGAGAGTGAAGCATGTGGCGAAGGGGGAGAGTGAAGCATGTGGCGAAGGGGGAGAGTGAAGCATGTGGCGAAGGGGGAGAGTGAAGCATGTGGCGAAGGGGGAGAGTGAAGCATGTGGCGAAGGGGGAGAGTGAAGCATGTGGCGAAGGGGGAGAGTGAAGCATGTGGCGAAGGGGGAGAGTGAAGCATGTGGCGAAGGGGGAGAGTGAAGCATGTGGCGAAGGGGGAGAGTGAAGCATGTGGCGAAGGGGGAGAGTGAAGCATGTGGCGAAGGGGGAGAGTGAAGCATGTGGCGAAGGGGGAGAGTGAAGCATGTGGCGAAGGGGGAGAGTGAAGCATGTGGCGAAGGGGGAGAGTGAAGCATGTGGCGAAGGGGGAGAGTGAAGCATGTGGCGAAGGGGGAGAGTGAAGCATGTGGCGAAGGGGGAGAGTGAAGCATGTGGCGAAGGGGGAGAGTGAAGCATGTGGCGAAGGGGGAGAGTGAAGCATGTGGCGAAGGGGGAGAGTGAAGCATGTGGCGAAGGGGGAGAGTGAAGCATGTGGCGAAGGGGGAGAGTGAAGCATGTGGCGAAGGGGAGAGTGAAGCATGTGGCGAAAGGGGAGAGTGAAGCATGTGGCGAAGGGGGAGAGTGAAGCATGTGGCGAAGGGGGAGAGTGAAGCATGTGGCGAAGGGGGAGAGTGAAGCATGTGGCGAAGGGGGAGAGTGAAGCATGTGGCGAAGGGGGAGAGTGAAGCATGTGGCGAAGGGGGAGAGTGAAGCATGTGGCGAAGGGGGAGAGTGAAGCATGTGGCGAAAGGGGAGAGTGAAGCATGTGGCGAAGGGGGAGAGTGAAGCATGTGGCGAAGGGGGAGAGTGAAGCATGTGGCGAAGGGGGAGAGTGAAGCATGTGGCGAAGGGGGAGAGTGAAGCATGTGGCGAAGGGGGAGAGTGAAGCATGTGGCGAAGGGGGAGAGTGAAGCATGTGGCGAAGGGGGAGAGTGAAGCATGTGGCGAAAGGGGAGAGTGAAGCATGTGGCGAAAGGGGAGAGTGAAGCATGTGGCGAAAGGGGAGAGTGAAGCATGTGGCGAAGGGGGAGAGTGAAGCATGTGGCGAAGGGGGAGAGTGAAGCATGTGGCGAAGGGGGAGAGTGAAGCATGTGGCGAAGGGGGAGAGTGAAGCATGTGGCGAAGGGGGAGAGTGAAGCATGTGGCGAAGGGGGAGAGTGAAGCATGTGGCGAAGGGGGAGAGTGAAGCATGTGGCGAAGGGGGAGAGTGAAGCATGTGGCGAAGGGGGAGAGTGAAGCATGTGGCGAAGGGGGAGAGTGAAGCATGTGGCGAAGGGGGAGAGTGAAGCATGTGGCGAAGGGGGAGAGTGAAGCATGTGGCGAAGGGGGAGAGTGAAGCATGTGGCGAAGGGGGAGAGTGAAGCATGTGGCGAAGGGGGAGAGTGAAGCATGTGGCGAAGGGGGAGAGTGAAGCATGTGGCGAAAGGGGAGAGTGAAGCATGTGGCGAAAGGGGAGAGTGAAGCATGTGGCGAAAGGGGAGAGTGAAGCATGTGGCGAAAGGGGAGAGTGAAGCATGTGGCGAAAGGGGAGAGTGAAGCATGTGGCGAAAGGGGAGAGTGAAGCATGTGGCGAAAGGGGAGAGTGAAGCATGTGGCGAAAGGGGAGAGTGAAGCATGTGGCGAAAGGGGAGAGTGAAGCATGTGGCGAAAGGGGAGAGTGAAGCATGTGGCGAAAGGGGAGAGTGAAGCATGTGGCGAAGGGGGAGAGTGAAGCATGTGGCGAAGGGGGAGAGTGAAGCATGTGGCGAAGGGGGAGAGTGAAGCATGTGGCGAAGGGGGAGAGTGAAGCATGTGGCGAAGGGGGAGAGTGAAGCATGTGGCGAAGGGGGAGAGTGAAGCATGTGGCGAAGGGGGAGAGTGAAGCATGTGGCGAAGGGGGAGAGTGAAGCATGTGGCGAAGGGGGAGAGTGAAGCATGTGGCGAAGGGGGAGAGTGAAGCATGTGGCGAAGGGGGAGAGTGAAGCATGTGGCGAAGGGGGAGAGTGAAGCATGTGGCGAAGGGGGAGAGTGAAGCATGTGGCGAAGGGGGAGAGTGAAGCATGTGGCGAAGGGGGAGAGTGAAGCATGTGGCGAAGGGGGAGAGTGAAGCATGTGGCGAAGGGGGAGAGTGAAGCATGTGGCGAAGGGGGAGAGTGAAGCATGTGGCGAAGGGGGAGAGTGAAGCATGTGGCGAAGGGGGAGAGTGAAGCATGTGGCGAAGGGGGAGAGTGAAGCATGTGGCGAAAGGGGAGAGTGAAGCATGTGGCGAAAGGGGAGAGTGAAGCATGTGGCGAAAGGGGAGAGTGAAGCATGTGGCGAAAGGGGAGAGTGAAGCATGTGGCGAAAGGGGAGAGTGAAGCATGTGGCGAAAGGGGAGAGTGAAGCATGTGGCGAAAGGGGAGAGTGAAGCATGTGGCGAAAGGGGAGAGTGAAGCATGTGGCGAAAGGGGAGAGTGAAGCATGTGGCGAAAGGGGAGAGTGAAGCATGTGGCGAAGGGGGAGAGTGAAGCATGTGGCGAAGGGGGAGAGTGAAGCATGTGGCGAAGGGGGAGAGTGAAGCATGTGGCGAAGGGGGAGAGTGAAGCATGTGGCGAAGGGGGAGAGTGAAGCATGTGGCGAAAGGGGAGAGTGAAGCATGTGGCGAAAGGGGAGAGTGAAGCATGTGGCGAAAGGGGAGAGTGAAGCATGTGGCGAAAGGGGAGAGTGAAGCATGTGGCGAAAGGGGAGAGTGAAGCATGTGGCGAAAGGGGAGAGTGAAGCATGTGGCGAAAGGGGAGAGTGAAGCATGTGGCGAAAGGGGAGAGTGAAGCATGTGGCGAAAGGGGAGAGTGAAGCATGTGGCGAAAGGGGAGAGTGAAGCATGTGGCGAAAGGGGAGAGTGAAGCATGTGGCGAAAGGGGAGAGTGAAGCATGTGGCGAAAGGGGAGAGTGAAGCATGTGGCGAAAGGGGAGAGTGAAGCATGTGGCGAAAGGGGAGAGTGAAGCATGTGGCGAAAGGGGAGAGTGAAGCATGTGGCGAAAGGGGAGAGTGAAGCATGTGGCGAAAGGGGAGAGTGAAGCATGTGGCGAAAGGGGAGAGTGAAGCATGTGGCGAAAGGGGAGAGTGAAGCATGTGGCGAAAGGGGAGAGTGAAGCATGTGGCGAAAGGGGAGAGTGAAGCATGTGGCGAAAGGGGAGAGTGAAGCATGTGGCGAAAGGGGAGAGTGAAGCATGTGGCGAAAGGGGAGAGTGAAGCATGTGGCGAAAGGGGAGAGTGAAGCATGTGGCGAAAGGGGAGAGTGAAGCATGTGGCGAAAGGGGAGAGTGAAGCATGTGGCGAAAGGGGAGAGTGAAGCATGTGGCGAAAGGGGAGAGTGAAGCATGTGGCGAAAGGGGAGAGTGAAGCATGTGGCGAAAGGGGAGAGTGAAGCATGTGGCGAAAGGGGAGAGTGAAGCATGTGGCGAAAGGGGAGAGTGAAGCATGTGGCGAAAGGGGAGAGTGAAGCATGTGGCGAAAGGGGAGAGTGAAGCATGTGGCGAAAGGGGAGAGTGAAGCATGTGGCGAAAGGGGAGAGTGAAGCATGTGGCGAAAGGGGAGAGTGAAGCATGTGGCGAAAGGGGAGAGTGAAGCATGTGGCGAAAGGGGAGAGTGAAGCATGTGGCGAAAGGGGAGAGTGAAGCATGTGGCGAAAGGGGAGAGTGAAGCATGTGGCGAAAGGGGAGAGTGAAGCATGTGGCGAAAGGGGAGAGTGAAGCATGTGGCGAAAGGGGAGAGTGAAGCATGTGGCGAAAGGGGAGAGTGAAGCATGTGGCGAAAGGGGAGAGTGAAGCATGTGGCGAAAGGGGAGAGTGAAGCATGTGGCGAAAGGGGAGAGTGAAGCATGTGGCGAAAGGGGAGAGTGAAGCATGTGGCGAAAGGGGAGAGTGAAGCATGTGGCGAAAGGGGAGAGTGAAGCATGTGGCGAAAGGGGAGAGTGAAGCATGTGGCGAAAGGGGAGAGTGAAGCATGTGGCGAAAGGGGAGAGTGAAGCATGTGGCGAAAGGGGAGAGTGAAGCATGTGGCGAAGGGGGAGAGTGAAGCATGTGGCGAAGGGGGAGAGTGAAGCATGTGGCGAAAGGGGAGAGTGAAGCATGTGGCGAAAGGGGAGAGTGAAGCATGTGGCGAAAGGGGAGAGTGAAGCATGTGGCGAAAGGGGAGAGTGAAGCATGTGGCGAAAGGGGAGAGTGAAGCATGTGGCGAAAGGGGAGAGTGAAGCATGTGGCGAAAGGGGAGAGTGAAGCATGTGGCGAAAGGGGAGAGTGAAGCATGTGGCGAAAGGGGAGAGTGAAGCATGTGGCGAAGGGGGAGAGTGAAGCATGTGGCGAAAGGGGAGAGTGAAGCATGTGGCGAAAGGGGAGAGTGAAGCATGTGGCGAAAGGGGAGAGTGAAGCATGTGGCGAAAGGGGAGAGTGAAGCATGTGGCGAAGGGGGAGAGTGAAGCATGTGGCGAAAGGGGAGAGTGAAGCATGTGGCGAAAGGGGAGAGTGAAGCATGTGGCGAAAGGGGAGAGTGAAGCATGTGGCGAAGGGGGAGAGTGAAGCATGTGGCGAAAGGGGAGAGTGAAGCATGTGGCGAAAGGGGAGAGTGAAGCATGTGGCGAAAGGGGAGAGTGAAGCATGTGGCGAAAGGGGAGAGTGAAGCATGTGGCGAAAGGGGAGAGTGAAGCATGTGGCGAAAGGGGAGAGTGAAGCATGTGGCGAAAGGGGAGAGTGAAGCATGTGGCGAAGGGGGAGAGTGAAGCATGTGGCGAAAGGGGAGAGTGAAGCATGTGGCGAAAGGGGAGAGTGAAGCATGTGGCGAAAGGGGAGAGTGAAGCATGTGGCGAAAGGGGAGAGTGAAGCATGTGGCGAAGGGGGAGAGTGAAGCATGTGGCGAAAGGGGAGAGTGAAGCATGTGGCGAAAGGGGAGCGTGAAGCATGTGGCGAAAGGGGAGAGTGAAGCATGTGGCGAAAGGGGAGAGTGAAGCATGTGGCGAAAGGGGAGAGTGAAGCATGTGGCGAAAGGGGAGAGTGAAGCATGTGGCGAAAGGGGAGAGTGAAGCATGTGGCGAAAGGGGAGAGTGAAGCATGTGGCGAAAGGGGAGAGTGAAGCATGTGGCGAAGGGGGAGAGTGAAGCATGTGGCGAAGGGGGAGAGTGAAGCATGTGGCGAAAGGGGAGAGTGAAGCATGTGGCGAAAGGGGAGAGTGAAGCATGTGGCGAAAGGGGAGAGTGAAGCATTTGGCGAAAGGGGAGAGTGAAGCATGTGGCGAAAGGGGAGAGTGAAGCATGTGGCGAAAGGGGAGAGTGAAGCATGTGGCGAAGGGGGAGAGTGAAGCATGTGGCGAAAGGGGAGAGTGAAGCATGTGGCGAAAGGGGAGAGTGAAGCATGTGGCGAAGGGGGAGAGTGAAGCATGTGGCGAAAGGGGAGAGTGAAGCATGTGGCGAAGGGGGAGAGTGAAGCATGTGGCGAAAGGGGAGAGTGAAGCATGTGGCGAAAGGGGAGAGTGAAGCATGTGGCGAAAGGGGAGAGTGAAGCATGTGGCGAAAGGGGAGAGTGAAGCATGTGGCGAAAGGGGAGAGTGAAGCATGTGGCGAAAGGGGAGAGTGAAGCATGTGGCGAAGGGGGAGAGTGAAGCATGTGGCGAAAGGGGAGAGTGAAGCATGTGGCGAAAGGGGAGAGTGAAGCATGTGGCGAAAGGGGAGAGTGAAGCATGTGGCGAAAGGGGAGAGTGAAGCATGTGGCGAAAGGGGAGAGTGAAGCATGTGGCGAAAGGGGAGAGTGAAGCATGTGGCGAAGGGGGAGAGTGAAGCATGTGGCGAACGGGGAGAGTGAAGCATGTGGCGAAAGGGGAGAGTGAAGCATGTGGCGAAAGGGGAGAGTGAAGCATGTGGCGAAGGGGGAGAGTGAAGCATGTGGCGAACGGGGAGAGTGAAGCATGTGGCGAAAGGGGAGAGTGAAGCATGTGGCGAAAGGGGAGAGTGAAGCATGTGGCGAAAGGGGAGAGTGAAGCATGTGGCGAAAGGGGAGAGTGAAGCATGTGGCGAAGGGGGAGAGTGAAGCATGTGGCGAAAGGGGAGAGTGAAGCATGTGGCGAAAGGGGAGAGTGAAGCATGTGGCGAAAGGGGAGAGTGAAGCATGTGGCGAAAGGGGAGAGTGAAGCATGTGGCGAAGGGGGAGAGTGAAGCATGTGGCGAAAGGGGAGAGTGAAGCATGTGGCGAAAGGGGAGAGTGAAGCATGTGGCGAAAGGGGAGAGTGAAGCATGTGGCGAAGGGGGAGAGTGAAGCATGTGGCGAAAGGGGAGAGTGAAGCATGTGGCGAAAGGGGAGAGTGAAGCATGTGGCGAAAGGGGAGAGTGAAGCATGTGGCGAAAGGGGAGAGTGAAGCATGTGGCGAAAGGGGAGAGTGAAGCATGTGGCGAAAGGGGAGAGTGAAGCATGTGGCGAAAGGGGAGAGTGAAGCATGTGGCGAAGGGGGAGAGTGAAGCATGTGGCGAAAGGGGAGAGTGAAGCATGTGGCGAAAGGGGAGAGTGAAGCATGTGGCGAAAGGGGAGAGTGAAGCATGTGGCGAAAGGGGAGAGTGAAGCATGTGGCGAAGGGGGAGAGTGAAGCATGTGGCGAAGGGGGAGAGTGAAGCATGTGGCGAAAGGGGAGAGTGAAGCATGTGGCGAAAGGGGAGAGTGAAGCATGTGGCGAAAGGGGAGAGTGAAGCATGTGGCGAAAGGGGAGAGTGAAGCATGTGGCGAAAGGGGAGAGTGAAGCATGTGGCGAAAGGGGAGAGTGAAGCATGTGGCGAAAGGGGAGAGTGAAGCATGTGGCGAAAGGGGAGAGTGAAGCATGTGGCGAAAGGGGAGAGTGAAGCATGTGGCGAAAGGGGAGAGTGAAGCATGTGGCGAAAGGGGAGAGTGAAGCATGTGGCGAAAGGGGAGAGTGAAGCATGTGGCGAAAGGGGAGAGTGAAGCATGTGGCGAAGGGGGAGAGTGAAGCATGTGGCGAAGGGGGAGAGTGAAGCATGTGGCGAAGGGGGAGAGTGAAGCATGTGGCGAAGGGGGAGAGTGAAGCATGTGGCGAAGGGGGAGAGTGAAGCATGTGGCGAAGGGGGAGAGTGAAGCATGTGGCGAAGGGGGAGAGTGAAGCATGTGGCGAAGGGGGAGAGTGAAGCATGTGGCGAAGGGGGAGAGTGAAGCATGTGGCGAAGGGGGAGAGTGAAGCATGTGGCGAAGGGGGAGAGTGAAGCATGTGGCGAAGGGGGAGAGTGAAGCATGTGGCGAAAGGGGAGAGTGAAGCATGTGGCGAAAGGGGAGAGTGAAGCATGTGGCGAAAGGGGAGAGTGAAGCATGTGGCGAAAGGGGAGAGTGAAGCATGTGGCGAAAGGGGAGAGTGAAGCATGTGGCGAAAGGGGAGAGTGAAGCATGTGGCGAAAGGGGAGAGTGAAGCATGTGGCGAAAGGGGAGAGTGAAGCATGTGGCGAAAGGGGAGAGTGAAGCATGTGGCGAAGGGGGAGAGTGAAGCATGTGGCGAAGGGGGAGAGTGAAGCATGTGGCGAAAGGGGAGAGTGAAGCATGTGGCGAAAGGGGAGAGTGAAGCATGTGGCGAAAGGGGAGAGTGAAGCATGTGGCGAAAGGGGAGAGTGAAGCATGTGGCGAAAGGGGAGAGTGAAGCATGTGGCGAAGGGGGAGAGTGAAGCATGTGGCGAACGGGGAGAGTGAAGCATGTGGCGAAAGGGGAGAGTGAAGCATGTGGCGAAAGGGGAGAGTGAAGCATGTGGCGAAGGGGGAGAGTGAAGCATGTGGCGAACGGGGAGAGTGAAGCATGTGGCGAAAGGGGAGAGTGAAGCATGTGGCGAAAGGGGAGAGTGAAGCATGTGGCGAAAGGGGAGAGTGAAGCATGTGGCGAAGGGGGAGAGTGAAGCATGTGGCGAAAGGGGAGAGTGAAGCATGTGGCGAAAGGGGAGAGTGAAGCATGTGGCGAAAGGGGAGAGTGAAGCATGTGGCGAAAGGGGAGAGTGAAGCATGTGGCGAAGGGGGAGAGTGAAGCATGTGGCGAAAGGGGAGAGTGAAGCATGTGGCGAAAGGGGAGAGTGAAGCATGTGGCGAAGGGGGAGAGTGAAGCATGTGGCGAAAGGGGAGAGTGAAGCATGTGGCGAAGGGGGAGAGTGAAGCATGTGGCGAAAGGGGAGAGTGAAGCATGTGGCGAAAGGGGAGAGTGAAGCATGTGGCGAAAGGGGAGAGTGAAGCATGTGGCGAAAGGGGAGAGTGAAGCATGTGGCGAAAGGGGAGAGTGAAGCATGTGGCGAAAGGGGAGAGTGAAGCATGTGGCGAAAGGGGAGAGTGAAGCATGTGGCGAAGGGGAGAGTGAAGCATGTGGCGAAAGGGGAGAGTGAAGCATGTGGCGAAAGGGGAGAGTGAAGCATGTGGCGAAAGGGGAGAGTGAAGCATGTGGCGAAAGGGGAGAGTGAAGCATGTGGCGAAAGGGGAGAGTGAAGCATGTGGCGAAAGGGGAGAGTGAAGCATGTGGCGAAGGGGGAGAGTGAAGCATGTGGCGAACGGGGAGAGTGAAGCATGTGGCGAAAGGGGAGAGTGAAGCATGTGGCGAAAGGGGAGAGTGAAGCATGTGGCGAAGGGGGAGAGTGAAGCATGTGGCGAACGGGGAGAGTGAAGCATGTGGCGAAAGGGGAGAGTGAAGCATGTGGCGAAAGGGGAGAGTGAAGCATGTGGCGAAAGGGGAGAGTGAAGCATGTGGCGAAGGGGGAGAGTGAAGCATGTGGCGAAAGGGGAGAGTGAAGCATGTGGCGAAAGGGGAGAGTGAAGCATGTGGCGAAAGGGGAGAGTGAAGCATGTGGCGAAAGGGGAGAGTGAAGCATGTGGCGAAGGGGGAGAGTGAAGCATGTGGCGAAAGGGGAGAGTGAAGCATGTGGCGAAAGGGGAGAGTGAAGCATGTGGCGAAAGGGGAGAGTGAAGCATGTGGCGAAGGGGGAGAGTGAAGCATGTGGCGAAAGGGGAGAGTGAAGCATGTGGCGAAAGGGGAGAGTGAAGCATGTGGCGAAAGGGGAGAGTGAAGCATGTGGCGAAAGGGGAGAGTGAAGCATGTGGCGAAAGGGGAGAGTGAAGCATGTGGCGAAAGGGGAGAGTGAAGCATGTGGCGAAAGGGGAGAGTGAAGCATGTGGCGAAGGGGGAGAGTGAAGCATGTGGCGAAAGGGGAGAGTGAAGCATGTGGCGAAAGGGGAGAGTGAAGCATGTGGCGAAAGGGGAGAGTGAAGCATGTGGCGAAAGGGGAGAGTGAAGCATGTGGCGAAGGGGAGAGTGAAGCATGTGGCGAAAGGGGAGAGTGAAGCATGTGGCGAAAGGGGAGAGTGAAGCATGTGGCGAAAGGGGAGAGTGAAGCATGTGGCGAAAGGGGAGAGTGAAGCATGTGGCGAAAGGGGAGAGTGAAGCATGTGGCGAAAGGGGAGAGTGAAGCATGTGGCGAAAGGGGAGAGTGAAGCATGTGGCGAAAGGGGAGAGTGAAGCATGTGGCGAAAGGGGAGAGTGAAGCATGTGGCGAAAGGGGAGAGTGAAGCATGTGGCGAAAGGGGAGAGTGAAGCATGTGGCGAAAGGGGAGAGTGAAGCATGTGGCGAAAGGGGAGAGTGAAGCATGTGGCGAAAGGGGAGAGTGAAGCATGTGGCGAAGGGGGAGAGTGAAGCATGTGGCGAAGGGGGAGAGTGAAGCATGTGGCGAAGGGGGAGAGTGAAGCATGTGGCGAAGGGGGAGAGTGAAGCATGTGGCGAAGGGGGAGAGTGAAGCATGTGGCGAAGGGGGAGAGTGAAGCATGTGGCGAAGGGGGAGAGTGAAGCATGTGGCGAAGGGGGAGAGTGAAGCATGTGGCGAAGGGGGAGAGTGAAGCATGTGGCGAAGGGGGAGAGTGAAGCATGTGGCGAAGGGGGAGAGTGAAGCATGTGGCGAAGGGGGAGAGTGAAGCATGTGGCGAAAGGGGAGAGTGAAGCATGTGGCGAAAGGGGAGAGTGAAGCATGTGGCGAAAGGGGAGAGTGAAGCATGTGGCGAAAGGGGAGAGTGAAGCATGTGGCGAAGGGGGAGAGTGAAGCATGTGGCGAAAGGGGAGAGTGAAGCATGTGGCGAAAGGGGAGAGTGAAGCATGTGGCGAAAGGGGAGAGTGAAGCATGTGGCGAAGGGGGAGAGTGAAGCATGTGGCGAAAGGGGAGAGTGAAGCATGTGGCGAAAGGGGAGAGTGAAGCATGTGGCGAAAGGGGAGAGTGAAGCATGTGGCGAAGGGGGAGAGTGAAGCATGTGGCGAAAGGGGAGAGTGAAGCATGTGGCGAAAGGGGAGAGTGAAGCATGTGGCGAAAGGGGAGAGTGAAGCATGTGGCGAAAGGGGAGAGTGAAGCATGTGGCGAAAGGGGAGAGTGAAGCATGTGGCGAAAGGGGAGAGTGAAGCATGTGGCGAAAGGGGAGAGTGAAGCATGTGGCGAAGGGGGAGAGTGAAGCATGTGGCGAAAGGGGAGAGTGAAGCATGTGGCGAAAGGGGAGAGTGAAGCATGTGGCGAAAGGGGAGAGTGAAGCATGTGGCGAAAGGGGAGAGTGAAGCATGTGGCGAAAGGGGAGAGTGAAGCATGTGGCGAAAGGGGAGAGTGAAGCATGTGGCGAAGGGGGAGAGTGAAGCATGTGGCGAACGGGGAGAGTGAAGCATGTGGCGAAAGGGGAGAGTGAAGCATGTGGCGAAAGGGGAGAGTGAAGCATGTGGCGAAGGGGGAGAGTGAAGCATGTGGCGAACGGGGAGAGTGAAGCATGTGGCGAAAGGGGAGAGTGAAGCATGTGGCGAAAGGGGAGAGTGAAGCATGTGGCGAAAGGGGAGAGTGAAGCATGTGGCGAAGGGGGAGAGTGAAGCATGTGGCGAAAGGGGAGAGTGAAGCATGTGGCGAAAGGGGAGAGTGAAGCATGTGGCGAAAGGGGAGAGTGAAGCATGTGGCGAAAGGGGAGAGTGAAGCATGTGGCGAAGGGGGAGAGTGAAGCATGTGGCGAAAGGGGAGAGTGAAGCATGTGGCGAAAGGGGAGAGTGAAGCATGTGGCGAAAGGGGAGAGTGAAGCATGTGGCGAAGGGGGAGAGTGAAGCATGTGGCGAAAGGGGAGAGTGAAGCATGTGGCGAAAGGGGAGAGTGAAGCATGTGGCGAAAGGGGAGAGTGAAGCATGTGGCGAAAGGGGAGAGTGAAGCATGTGGCGAAAGGGGAGAGTGAAGCATGTGGCGAAAGGGGAGAGTGAAGCATGTGGCGAAAGGGGAGAGTGAAGCATGTGGCGAAGGGGGAGAGTGAAGCATGTGGCGAAAGGGGAGAGTGAAGCATGTGGCGAAAGGGGAGAGTGAAGCATGTGGCGAAAGGGGAGAGTGAAGCATGTGGCGAAAGGGGAGAGTGAAGCATGTGGCGAAGGGGGAGAGTGAAGCATGTGGCGAAAGGGGAGAGTGAAGCATGTGGCGAAAGGGGAGAGTGAAGCATGTGGCGAAAGGGGAGAGTGAAGCATGTGGCGAAAGGGGAGAGTGAAGCATGTGGCGAAAGGGGAGAGTGAAGCATGTGGCGAAAGGGGAGAGTGAAGCATGTGGCGAAAGGGGAGAGTGAAGCATGTGGCGAAAGGGGAGAGTGAAGCATGTGGCGAAAGGGGAGAGTGAAGCATGTGGCGAAAGGGGAGAGTGAAGCATGTGGCGAAAGGGGAGAGTGAAGCATGTGGCGAAAGGGGAGAGTGAAGCATGTGGCGAAAGGGGAGAGTGAAGCATGTGGCGAAGGGGGAGAGTGAAGCATGTGGCGAAGGGGGAGAGTGAAGCATGTGGCGAAGGGGGAGAGTGAAGCATGTGGCGAAGGGGGAGAGTGAAGCATGTGGCGAAGGGGGAGAGTGAAGCATGTGGCGAAGGGGGAGAGTGAAGCATGTGGCGAAGGGGGAGAGTGAAGCATGTGGCGAAGGGGGAGAGTGAAGCATGTGGCGAAGGGGGAGAGTGAAGCATGTGGCGAAGGGGGAGAGTGAAGCATGTGGCGAAGGGGGAGAGTGAAGCATGTGGCGAAGGGGGAGAGTGAAGCATGTGGCGAAAGGGGAGAGTGAAGCATGTGGCGAAAGGGGAGAGTGAAGCATGTGGCGAAAGGGGAGAGTGAAGCATGTGGCGAAAGGGGAGAGTGAAGCATGTGGCGAAAGAGGAGAGTGAAGCATGTGGCGAAAGGGGAGAGTGAAGCATGTGGCGAAAGGGGAGAGTGAAGCATGTGGCGAAAGGGGAGAGTGAAGCATGTGGCGAAAGGGGAGAGTGAAGCATGTGGCGAAAGGGGAGAGTGAAGCATGTGGCGAAAGGGGAGAGTGAAGCATGTGGCGAAAGGGGAGAGTGAAGCATGTGGCGAAAGGGGAGAGTGAAGCATGTGGCGAAAGGGGAGAGTGAAGCATGTGGCGAAAGGGGAGAGTGAAGCATGTGGCGAAAGGGGAGAGTGAAGCATGTGGCGAAAGGGGAGAGTGAAGCATGTGGCGAAAGGGGAGAGTGAAGCATGTGGCGAAAGGGGAGAGTGAAGCATGTGGCGAAAGGGGAGAGTGAAGCATGTGGCGAAAGGGGAGAGTGAAGCATGTGGCGAAAGGGGAGAGTGAAGCATGTGGCGAAAGGGGAGAGTGAAGCATGTGGCGAAAGGGGAGAGTGAAGCATGTGGCGAAAGGGGAGAGTGAAGCATGTGGCGAAAGGGGAGAGTGAAGCATGTGGCGAAAGGGGAGAGTGAAGCATGTGGCGAAAGGGGAGAGTGAAGCATGTGGCGAAAGGGGAGAGTGAAGCATGTGGCGAAAGGGGAGAGTGAAGCATGTGGCGAAAGGGGAGAGTGAAGCATGTGGCGAAAGGGGAGAGTGAAGCATGTGGCGAAAGGGGAGAGTGAAGCATGTGGCGAAAGGGGAGAGTGAAGCATGTGGCGAAAGGGGAGAGTGAAGCATGTGGCGAAAGGGGAGAGTGAAGCATGTGGCGAAAGGGGAGAGTGAAGCATGTGGCGAAAGGGGAGAGTGAAGCATGTGGCGAAAGGGGAGAGTGAAGCATGTGGCGAAAGGGGAGAGTGAAGCATGTGGCGAAAGGGGAGAGTGAAGCATGTGGCGAAAGGGGAGAGTGAAGCATGTGGCGAAAGGGGAGAGTGAAGCATGTGGCGAAAGGGGAGAGTGAAGCATGTGGCGAAAGGGGAGAGTGAAGCATGTGGCGAAAGGGGAGAGTGAAGCATGTGGCGAAAGGGGAGAGTGAAGCATGTGGCGAAAGGGGAGAGTGAAGCATGTGGCGAAGGGGAGAGTGAAGCATGTGGCGAAGGGGGAGAGTGAAGCATGTGGCGAAAGGGGAGAGTGAAGCATGTGGCGAAAGGGGAGAGTGAAGCATGTGGCGAAAGGGGAGAGTGAAGCATGTGGCGAAAGGGGAGAGTGAAGCATGTGGCGAAAGGGGAGAGTGAAGCATGTGGCGAAAGGGGAGAGTGAAGCATGTGGCGAAAGGGGAGAGTGAAGCATGTGGCGAAAGGGGAGAGTGAAGCATGTGGCGAAAGGGGAGAGTGAAGCATGTGGCGAAAGGGGAGAGTGAAGCATGTGGCGAAAGGGGAGAGTGAAGCATGTGGCGAAGGGGGAGAGTGAAGCATGTGGCGAAAGGGGAGAGTGAAGCATGTGGCGAAAGGGGAGAGTGAAGCATGTGGCGAAAGGGGAGAGTGAAGCATGTGGCGAAAGGGGAGAGTGAAGCATGTGGCGAAAGGGGAGAGTGAAGCATGTGGCGAAAGGGGAGAGTGAAGCATGTGGCGAAGGGGGAGAGTGAAGCATGTGGCGAACGGGGAGAGTGAAGCATGTGGCGAAAGGGGAGAGTGAAGCATGTGGCGAAAGGGGAGAGTGAAGCATGTGGCGAAGGGGGAGAGTGAAGCATGTGGCGAACGGGGAGAGTGAAGCATGTGGCGAAAGGGGAGAGTGAAGCATGTGGCGAAAGGGGAGAGTGAAGCATGTGGCGAAAGGGGAGAGTGAAGCATGTGGCGAAAGGGGAGAGTGAAGCATGTGGCGAAAGGGGAGAGTGAAGCATGTGGCGAAAGGGGAGAGTGAAGCATGTGGCGAAAGGGGAGAGTGAAGCATGTGGCGAAAGGGGAGAGTGAAGCATGTGGCGAAAGGGGAGAGTGAAGCATGTGGCGAAAGGGGAGAGTGAAGCATGTGGCGAAGGGGGAGAGTGAAGCATGTGGCGAAAGGGGAGAGTGAAGCATGTGGCGAAGGGGGAGAGTGAAGCATGTGGCGAAAGGGGAGAGTGAATCATGTGGCGAAAGGGGAGAGTGAAGCATGTGGCGAAAGGGGAGAGTGAAGCATGTGGCGAAAGGGGAGAGTGAAGCATGTGGCGAAGGGGGAGAGTGAAGCATGTGGCGAAGGGGGAGAGTGAAGCATGTGGCGAAAGGGGAGAGTGAAGCATGTGGCGAAAGGGGAGAGTGAAGCATGTGGCGAAAGGGGAGAGTGAAGCATGTGGCGAAAGGGGAGAGTGAAGCATGTGGCGAAAGGGGAGAGTGAAGCATGTGGCGAAAGGGGAGAGTGAAGCATGTGGCGAAAGGGGAGAGTGAAGCATGTGGCGAAAGGGGAGAGTGAAGCATGTGGCGAAAGGGGAGAGTGAAGCATGTGGCGAAAGGGGAGAGTGAAGCATGTGGCGAAGGGGGAGAGTGAAGCATGTGGCGAACGGGGAGAGTGAAGCATGTGGCGAAAGGGGAGAGTGAAGCATGTGGCGAAAGGGGAGAGTGAAGCATGTGGCGAAAGGGGAGAGTGAAGCATGTGGCGAAAGGGGAGAGTGAAGCATGTGGCGAAAGGGGAGAGTGAAGCATGTGGCGAAAGGGGAGAGTGAAGCATGTGGCGAAAGAGGAGAGTGAAGCATGTGGCGAAGGGGGAGAGTGAAGCATGTGGCGAAAGGGGAGAGTGAAGCATGTGGCGAAAGGGGAGAGTGAAGCATGTGGCGAAAGGGGAGAGTGAAGCATGTGGCGAAAGGGGAGAGTGAAGCATGTGGCGAAAGGGGAGAGTGAAGCATGTGGCGAAAGGGGAGAGTGAAGCATGTGGCGAAAGGGGAGAGTGAAGCATGTGGCGAAAGGGGAGAGTGAAGCATGTGGCGAAAGGGGAGAGTGAAGCATGTGGCGAAAGGGGAGAGTGAAGCATGTGGCGAAAGGGGAGAGTGAAGCATGTGGCGAAAGGGGAGAGTGATGCATGTGGCGAAGGGGGAGAGTGAAGCATGTGGCGAAGGGGGAGAGTGAAGCATGTGGCGAAAGGGGAGAGTGAAGCATGTGGCGAAAGGGGAGAGTGAAGCATGTGGCGAAAGGGGAGAGTGAAGCATGTGGCGAAAGGGGAGAGTGAAGCATGTGGCGAAAGGGGAGAGTGAAGCATGTGGCGAAAGGGGAGAGTGAAGCATGTGGCGAAAGGGGAGAGTGAAGCATGTGGCGAAAGGGGAGAGTGAAGCATGTGGCGAAGGGGGAGAGTGAAGCATGTGGCGAAAGGGGAGAGTGAAGCATGTGGCGAAGGGGGAGAGTGAAGCATGTGGCGAAAGGGGAGAGTGAAGCATGTGGCGAAAGGGGAGAGTGAAGCATGTGGCGAAAGGGGAGAGTGAAGCATGTGGCGAAAGGGGAGAGTGAAGCATGTGGCGAAAGGGGAGAGTGAAGCATGTGGCGAAAGGGGAGAGTGAAGCATGTGGCGAAAGGGGAGAGTGAAGCATGTGGCGAAAGGGGAGAGTGAAGCATGTGGCGAAAGGGGAGAGTGAAGCATGTGGCGAAAGGGGAGAGTGAAGCATGTGGCGAAAGGGGAGAGTGAAGCATGTGGCGAAAGGGGAGAGTGAAGCATGTGGCGAAAGGGGAGAGTGAAGCATGTGGCGAAAGGGGAGAGTGAAGCATGTGGCGAAAGGGGAGAGTGAAGCATGTGGCGAAAGGGGAGAGTGAAGCATGTGGCGAAAGGGGAGAGTGAAGCATGTGGCGAAAGGGGAGAGTGAAGCATGTGGCGAAAGGGGAGAGTGAAGCATGTGGCGAAAGGGGAGAGTGAAGCATGTGGCGAAAGGGGAGAGTGAAGCATGTGGCGAAAGGGGAGAGTGAAGCATGTGGCGAAAGGGGAGAGTGAAGCATGTGGCGAAAGGGGAGAGTGAAGCATGTGGCGAAAGGGGAGAGTGAAGCATGTGGCGAAAGGGGAGAGTGAAGCATGTGGCGAAAGGGGAGAGTGAAGCATGTGGCGAAAGGGGAGAGTGAAGCATGTGGCGAAAGGGGAGAGTGATGCATGTGGCGAAGGGGGAGAGTGAAGCATGTGGCGAAGGGGGAGAGTGAAGCATGTGGCGAAAGGGGAGAGTGAAGCATGTGGCGAAAGGGGAGAGTGAAGCATGTGGCGAAAGGGGAGAGTGAAGCATGTGGCGAAAGGGGAGAGTGAAGCATGTGGCGAAGGGGGAGAGTGAAGCATGTGGCGAACGGGGAGAGTGAAGCATGTGGCGAAAGGGGAGAGTGAAGCATGTGGCGAAAGGGGAGAGTGAAGCATGTGGCGAAGGGGGAGAGTGAAGCATGTGGCGAACGGGGAGAGTGAAGCATGTGGCGAAAGGGGAGAGTGAAGCATGTGGCGAAAGGGGAGAGTGAAGCATGTGGCGAAAGGGGAGAGTGAAGCATGTGGCGAAAGGGGAGAGTGAAGCATGTGGCGAAAGGGGAGAGTGAAGCATGTGGCGAAAGGGGAGAGTGAAGCATGTGGCGAAAGGGGAGAGTGAAGCATGTGGCGAAAGGGGAGAGTGAAGCATGTGGCGAAAGGGGAGAGTGAAGCATGTGGCGAAAGGGGAGAGTGAAGCATGTGGCGAAGGGGGAGAGTGAAGCATGTGGCGAAAGGGGAGAGTGAAGCATGTGGCGAAGGGGGAGAGTGAAGCATGTGGCGAAAGGGGAGAGTGAATCATGTGGCGAAAGGGGAGAGTGAAGCATGTGGCGAAAGGGGAGAGTGAAGCATGTGGCGAAAGGGGAGAGTGAAGCATGTGGCGAAGGGGGAGAGTGAAGCATGTGGCGAAGGGGGAGAGTGAAGCATGTGGCGAAAGGGGAGAGTGAAGCATGTGGCGAAAGGGGAGAGTGAAGCATGTGGCGAAAGGGGAGAGTGAAGCATGTGGCGAAAGGGGAGAGTGAAGCATGTGGCGAAAGGGGAGAGTGAAGCATGTGGCGAAAGGGGAGAGTGAAGCATGTGGCGAAAGGGGAGAGTGAAGCATGTGGCGAAAGGGGAGAGTGAAGCATGTGGCGAAAGGGGAGAGTGAAGCATGTGGCGAAAGGGGAGAGTGAAGCATGTGGCGAAGGGGGAGAGTGAAGCATGTGGCGAACGGGGAGAGTGAAGCATGTGGCGAAAGGGGAGAGTGAAGCATGTGGCGAAAGGGGAGAGTGAAGCATGTGGCGAAAGGGGAGAGTGAAGCATGTGGCGAAAGGGGAGAGTGAAGCATGTGGCGAAAGGGGAGAGTGAAGCATGTGGCGAAAGGGGAGAGTGAAGCATGTGGCGAAAGGGGAGAGTGAAGCATGTGGCGAAAGGGGAGAGTGAAGCATGTGGCGAAAGAGGAGAGTGAAGCATGTGGCGAAGGGGGAGAGTGAAGCATGTGGCGAAAGGGGAGAGTGAAGCATGTGGCGAAAGGGGAGAGTGAAGCATGTGGCGAAAGGGGAGAGTGAAGCATGTGGCGAAAGGGGAGAGTGAAGCATGTGGCGAAAGGGGAGAGTGAAGCATGTGGCGAAAGGGGAGAGTGAAGCATGTGGCGAAAGGGGAGAGTGAAGCATGTGGCGAAAGGGGAGAGTGAAGCATGTGGCGAAAGGGGAGAGTGAAGCATGTGGCGAAAGGGGAGAGTGAAGCATGTGGCGAAAGGGGAGAGTGAAGCATGTGGCGAAAGGGGAGAGTGATGCATGTGGCGAAGGGGGAGAGTGAAGCATGTGGCGAAGGGGGAGAGTGAAGCATGTGGCGAAAGGGGAGAGTGAAGCATGTGGCGAAAGGGGAGAGTGAAGCATGTGGCGAAAGGGGAGAGTGAAGCATGTGGCGAAAGGGGAGAGTGAAGCATGTGGCGAAAGGGGAGAGTGAAGCATGTGGCGAAAGGGGAGAGTGAAGCATGTGGCGAAAGGGGAGAGTGAAGCATGTGGCGAAAGGGGAGAGTGAAGCATGTGGCGAAGGGGGAGAGTGAAGCATGTGGCGAAGGGGGAGAGTGAAGCATGTGGCGAAGGGGGAGAGTGAAGCATGTGGCGAAAGGGGAGAGTGAAGCATGTGGCGAAAGGGGAGAGTGAAGCATGTGGCGAAAGGGGAGAGTGAAGCATGTGGCGAAAGGGGAGAGTGAAGCATGTGGCGAAAGGGGAGAGTGAAGCATGTGGCGAAAGGGGAGAGTGAAGCATGTGGCGAAAGGGGAGAGTGAAGCATGTGGCGAAAGGGGAGAGTGAAGCATGTGGCGAAAGGGGAGAGTGAAGCATGTGGCGAAAGGGGAGAGTGAAGCATGTGGCGAAAGGGGAGAGTGAAGCATGTGGCGAAAGGGGAGAGTGAAGCATGTGGCGAAAGGGGAGAGTGAAGCATGTGGCGAAAGGGGAGAGTGAAGCATGTGGCGAAAGGGGAGAGTGAAGCATGTGGCGAAAGGGGAGAGTGAAGCATGTGGCGAAAGGGGAGAGTGAAGGGGCGTGGAAAAGCAAATCGTTACTGTTGAAACTCAAGAGAAACTTTTGAGACACACTTGTCATTTTAGAATTGTCTTCTAAAAGAGCCTGTGGCAAGAAAACAGACAATGAAGACCTATCTAGGACGACTCGTTACCATATTGTATTGGGCTTAACATCTTAACCCTAAAACCTAGACCGCGAATTACACTGGTCTGTGCGGATGTGGCAGACAGTGACGAGCCGAGCCGCAGTGGTTTGTTGACGAGCTGCATTTCACTCGCCCTGGCTCCTCCAGTTCGCCCTCGCCTCGCCCTGTCCATCTGAGTCATTGCCAAGCCGAGGCCGACTCCTCCTCCTGGCTTCTCCATCTGATGAGCCATGAGCCATGTCAGCTGCCTGATCGGTTCGTCCACCGGGGTGCACGTACTGGTTATCAGGGTTTAGGGTTTAGGGTTTAGGGCATTAGGCGGACACTTAGAAGTTTGAACCAAACTGGAAAAGGTAAACCAAATTGGGCGAACCTCTAACCCCCCACTGCGTTTCGGTTCGGCTTGAACCGGGCCGGTTCGGTTTGGCTTATTGACCGCTTTGATTCGATTCTGGTTCAATTCTTCCTCCTGTCTACCAAATTATTATTATGTGCCCTGGTTTCGAGGTGATCAAAACTTCTCCACAAGCGAGGCCAATGCATCTCTCCTATGTTTATACCCTCAATCAATGCATAACTAGTAAACCCTAAGTAGAACTAAGTTCTGATACTTCTAATCCACGGACAGGTCAATTTGGTAATTTTATGCTTAAAAACAAATGCTCCATGCAGAGATGTATCCAAAACCAATCTGACAGGACAGCTCCCCCCAGCATTGGGCAATCTTTCCAAGCTTGAAAACATGTAAGAAACGCATTTCTTTCTCTCCCTGAAGTGCTGCAAACCATGCATGCAAAGCTCATCTGCTAGTGCTTCAAAGGATTATCACACTCACACGGACTTATGCTGCTGTTTACTCCAAAATCCTATTACCAGCTTGTGTCAACAATATTTTGTTCTTGTAAAGAACTGATTCTTCTTCTTGTACATGCAGGAACCTTAATGAGACCAAAGTCACATGCCCGCCTGACAGCACACCATGTGTGGTTCAGCAGAATCCTCAAAGTGTTTTCTGCCTCACATGCCCCTCCTTCTGCATCACATGTGGTCAGTAAGCACCACGTGAGCCAAAAACAGATCCTGAGGCGTCCTTTGTTATCTCCTGAACATCGATTTCTGTAAAATGGATATTCGGCGTCTGTGACCATTAGGCATCAGCAGTAGTCAGCCTAGGGCTTGGCTTGACGGCGAGCCGAGTTGGAGTTCGTGTTTTGCTCATGCCTAGACTTATGCACCACATTACTAGTTACGCGGCACATCATTACATGCGCCACGTCATTACATGCACCACATTATTACATGCGCCATTTCATTACATGCACCACGTCATTACATGCACCACGTCATTACATGCACCACGTCATTACATGCACCACGTTATTACATGCACCACGTTATTACATGCGCCACGTCATTACATGCACCACGTTATTACATGCGCCCCGTCATTACATGCACCATGTTATTACATGCACCACGTTATTACATGCGCCACGTCATTACATGCACCACGTTATTACATGCACCACGTCATTACATGCATCACGTCATTACATGCATCACATCATTATTTTCACCACATAGTTAATCGCCAAACCAAATCATTACTTATGCACGACATCATCACTTATTCACCACATCATCACTTATGCACCACATCTTTACTTCTGCACCACATGTGTCACTGTAGTACCGAATTAACTTGTACTTATTGAGACATCAGTAGTACGGACGTTCTTCCATACAATGCATGCACATCTTTGCTAAAATCCCCATGCTCCCTGCATGAACATACTCTTTGTCCGTACCACGTCTCTCATATCTGGCGTACATCTCATTCTGAAGCTCATCGTTATGCCTGCCCTCTCGTTCATGCTTACCGTTCATTCCAACACACATTGCAACGTTACCATTTTGCCATGCACCACCCTCCCATTGCAATGCAACCCATGCTGTCTCTATGCCTCCATCCATCCCTTTCGTTCTCATCCCTGTCCACCCCTCACAATCCACACTACAGGACCCTTCTCCCCATATCCAGCGCCCCCCTCTCTACCTCCTCAGCCCTGGGCCATGCCTTCAGCACCCCCCTCCCTACCTACTGAGCCCTGGGCCATGCCTTCAGCACCCCCCTCCCTACCTACTGAGCCCTGGGCCATGCCTTCAGCGCCTTCCACAACGGCCCCATCCTCCTCCTCCGCACCCCCTCTCTCGCCTGAAGCTTTTACCGACTTCCAGAGCCCGCCACAACAGCCCCAGTCGGGAGGCGGTCTCTCTGTGGGAGTCATTGCCGGCATTGCTGTGGGTGCAGTGATGCTGCTGATCATTGGCGTGCTGCTGTGGTGGAGAATCCAGAAGAAACGAGCGGCACATGGAGCAGGTATTGTAAATATTATAAAGAGGACTCTTGCCTCTTCTTCCTCCATCCGATGCTTTTCTTCCGTCCATGCTTCTCTTAATCCCGTCCATGGTTAATCCTGACATCTCCGCCCATTCGTGCAAATACGGAGCACACAAGGGAGAGCTTGCGTATCTGCTCGTTCAGTGAAACTCTCGTCTCTGTTCTATTGTAGGTGTAGCAGTCCATTTAGATGAAACGCAGGAAAGTGCGGCTTTGAGATGTGAAAAAAAAAAAAAAAAGAATCTGTAAATCATAAGACACGGTATTGGCCCACTAATCCTTAAGTTATGTGACTCCTGATGCGAAACGTGAAAATTTACTTACTCATAAAGTATGTGACACACTCTATTGCCCCACCAGTCACCTCATGTGAGCACACAGAAGGACATGGCATGAAGGAAGATCCAGAGGAAGAAGCGGCAGCAATGGCAGCAGTAGCTGCTGCAGCACCACTACCACCCGCACCAGCAGCAGCAATGGTGGTCCAGGATAAAGACGTGGTGGTGGAAATGGGTTTAGAAATGGAGAAGAATGCAGCACGACCGCATGTCTGCCAGGAGTACCCATTGGAAGAGCTTGAAAGGGCAACTGGGAAGTGGGCAGAGGAGAACAGGATTGGCAGCGGCAGCTTTGGCGATGTGTACAAGGGCGTGTCTCCGCAGAGCGGCAGTCAAATGTGGGCCGTCAAGCGGGCGAGAGTACTCAGCAACGACTTCCTTACCGAGGTGTGAGCTTCAATCAATGACCATGAGTGAGAGGACTCCCCAATAAGCTTAACAGCATGGCGATGTGTAAACGGGGGTGTCGCCGCAGAGCGGCTCTCAAGTGTGGACGGTCAGGCGAGCGAGAACGCTCACCAACGATTTCCAGACTGAAGTAAGAGCTTCAAACAACACCATGAGTTTTTTGCATGTACCTCCTCCCAGGATCTCTGCTCAGTGTGTGTCTATTCAATCCTTGGTACTCAAATTTTCATCTTCTGCTCCCACTCCTTCTGTCATGCCCCACACCCCTCCCTTCATCTTCGCCAGGTGAGGGAGATGGCATCGAAGCACCACCCGCACCTGGTCCAACTGCTGGGCTACTGCATCGACTTCAACCCATCCACGCGCCACATAGAGCAGATCTTGGTCTATGAGTACATGCACAACCATGACCTCGAGAGCTGGATCGGCCTGGGTGCCTCCCACCCTCTCTCCCTGCGGCAACGGCTGGACGTTCTGATTGGAGTGGCTAAGGGGTTGCAGTATCTGCATGACTTTGGCATCGTGCATCGCGACATCAAGCCTGCCAACATTCTCCTGGATGACAAGATGAATGTGAGCCGGTGTTGGTAGATGAAAGTGGGACGGTAGATAGAGGTGCATGAGAGGGGCTGCAGTATTGGCATGACTTTGGCATCGTGCATCGCGACATCAAGCCCGCCAACATCCTTCTTGATGCAAGAATGCAGGTATGTGTTTGCTCATCTACCTATGTTGCACAGAAATCAGTCAACTTGTTGCATCCGATGCAAAAATTGATGCCCCTTTCGTGTATCGCACCGAGCCCATTTGCACCAGTTCAACATTCTCTGTGCGCATCTTTGTGAGGCGCTTAAAAAATCTGTGCACTACAAGATTCTCCGTGCTCATACTTGATTGTGCACCAGGCCAAGATAGCGGACTTTGGGCTGGTGAAGCTGAGTGGAGGCACCTCCATGGGCACCTCTGTGGCCGCCACTCGAGTGATGGGCACACCGGGCTATGTTGACCCTGCTTACTACAAGACACACAAGGCCACACCAGCAGCAGACGTGCACAGGTGGGTGTTGAAAATGGTACTAGGGTAGGAAAAATCTCTCATGCTCTTTGCATTGCCTGTGGTGTTTCTATTGCTCACAACCTTTTCCATTGCATGTCAAATTTTCTGTTGCTCACAACCTTTCCCATTGCATATCGCGTTTTCTGCTGCTCACGCTCCTTCCCATTGCATGTGGCATTTTCTATTGCTCGCGCTCTTCTGTGGGCAGCTTTGGGGTGGTGATGCTGGTGGTCATAACGGCACGCAAGGCAGTTCACATGGCAGACGATGTTCAGACCAACCTCAAGCAATGGGTGAGGCTCAGCACTATTAGACGCCAGGCTGAATCCTTATCCACATCAAGAATGGCTAAATCTTTAGGTGCCTAAAAGGTGACCGTTCACATGGCAGAAGACATTCAAATCAACCTCGGGTAATCAGTGAAGCTCAACTCTTAGACTATAAAGGAATATGCACCATGCCTCGCCCTTCTCCACTCTTTTAACCAACCCTGCTGGCAGGTGACCCCTCTGGTGGCAACCGGTGACGTGGCAATATCAAGGACCCTCACTGCTCCAGACTACTAGGTGCTGTGCATGGCTCGCCTCGCCCTCACCTGCCCGGCCATGCCCACGGCCTCCCACCCCAACCCCACAGGTGGCTCCTCTGGTGGAATCTGGCGGAGTGGCATCATTCGAGTACCCTCTCTTGGATGCTCCAGATGACTTGCTGCTGCGCCTGTCCGAATTCTCACCAGGCCTCTATCCTTCTAACCAAACCTGCATGCAGGTGGCTCCATTGGTGGCATCTGGAGACGTAGCAGCATTCAAGGACCCTCACTTGGACGCTCCAGATGACTTGCTGCTGCGCCTGGCTCGCCTCGCCCTCACCTGCACGGCCATGCCCACGGCCTCCCGCCCCACCATGGCCCGCGTGTTGGGCGATCTGCTGGGCATGAAGGAGGAGGTGCTTGGGGGTGCTGAGGCGCACAGAGCTGCATGCCGCATTGACAGGGAGATTGGCAGCTCAGCGGCTCACACGGTGGACTTTGATGCCCAGCTGGCCGGAATAGAACAGATGGGAGCGCATAGCAATTTGTCGGGTGATGCATGACTGGCACAGAGCTGTGTGCTGGCTGGGAAGCACAGAGCTGCATGCCGCATTGACAGGGAAATTGGCAGCTCAGCAGCTCACACGGTGGACTTTGATGCCCAGCTGGCCGGAATAGAACAGATGGGAGTGCAGAGCGCTTCATCTAGAAATGCATGATTTGTTGTGGGTGCGAACCTTTGGTGGTCAGCTGGCCCGTGTGCAGCAGACGGGCATGAAGGAAAGGGTTCTTGGGGGGCGCAGGCACACGGAACTGCATGTCGACGCAGTTCCCCCTCCCAGGGCGAACGTAGTCGATGGCATGTGGCTCTTCAAGGTGAAGCGGCCGCCTGGAGCACCGCCGGTGTTCAAGGCGCGCTACGTGGCTAGGGGTTTCAGTCAGCGTGAGGGAGTTGACTTCTTCCAGACCTTCGCCCCGACCCCGAAGATGACTACTCTTCGGGTGTTACTCCACATAGCAGCGCAGCGAGACTACGAGCTGCACTCCCTCGACTTCTCCACTGCGTTCCTCCAGGGCCGACTGCACGAGGAGATCTGGCTGCGCCGTCCTCCTGGCTTCACTGACACCTTCCCACCTGGGACCCAGTGGAGCCTGAGGCAACCAGTCTACGGTCTCCGCCAGTCGCCCCGTGAGTGGCACGACACTCTTCGCTCCACGCTTCGTGACCTTGGGTTCAGCCCGTCCTCCGCCGACCCGTCGCTGTTTGTTCGAGCGGGTTCTACTCCTTTCTTTATCCTTGTCTACGTCGACGACTTGGTGTTTGCTACAGCAGACAGGGCAGCCCTGGCTCAGGTGAAGTCCGAACTGCAGAAGAGACACAAGTGCACTGACCTGGGTGAGCTGCAGCGCTACCTTGGCCTGCAGATCACCCGGGACAGAGCCGCTCGCACCATCACACTGACGCAGTCACACATGGTGCAGCAGGTCCTTCGGCGGTTCGACTTCCAGTTCTCCACCACACAGCCCACTCCTCTTGCTGTTGACCACAGACTCACGGGCCCCTTTCCTGACGAGCCCTTTGAGTCCAGTGGACCCTACGCAGAGCTGGTGGGCTGCCTCATGTACCTGATGACTTGTACTCGACCGGACCTCGCCTTTCCACTCAGCATCCTTTCTCGCTTTGTTGCGACTGGGAGACACCGCCCTGTCCACTGGACAGCTGCTGTGAGGGTGGCGAAGTACCTGGCGACTACATCAGGCTTGGGGCTTGTGCTTGGAGGGACTCAGCCAGTGGCGTTGACTGGTCACTGCGACTCTTCCTACGCTGACGACGTGGAGACTCAACGTTCGACTCAGGGTTACTGCTTCAGTCTGGGAGCTGGTGCTGTGTCGTGGAGGTCTACACGGTCGTCGTCTGTGGCTACTTCCAGTGCAGAGGCAGAGATCTACGCTGGTGCCATGGCGGCACAGGAGCTTCGCTGGTTGACCTTCTTGCTCGCCGACCTTGGTGAGCGGCCTCGCTCTGCACCGACCTTGTACGCTGACAACAAGGCCATGATCCTCCTGTGTCGAGAGCCTCGACTGGAGAGCAGAGTGAAGCATATTGACGTGAGGTACTTCCTCCTGCGAGAGCTGCAGCGACGCGGTCAGGCACGCCTGGACTTTGTGGTCTCAGAGGCCAACACTGCAGACGTCTTCACCAAGGCCTTGGCGCTTGGTGACCACCACAGGTTCTGTGTGCAGTTGGGGCTTGTTGAGGTAGGCCCTCGGTTGGTGTAGTCCTGTTGCTTGCTCTGCTTGTTGTGCTTTGTATTTATATCCTAGTGAACTCTTGAACTGGTCTTGTGGCCGCTTGCTTGCGCTCGGAATTTGTGTGGTGTCCTTGAGATCCACCCTGAGCTTGCCTTGGTTCTTGCTTTGACTGGTCTTGTGACCGTTTGTTCACTTTGCTTGCTTTGATGCCCCTCACTTAGCCTATGGGGGTGTGTCAAATGTTGAACATTGATATGATAGGCTATAGTGAGTTGCACTCTAGGGGGTACAGCTTCTAGGGTTGCTCATTTGTACCCCATTCGTTTCTATTCCAATCATTCCGTTGTTCGCTAACTTTGAGAATTACGCCCAAGGGTTTACCTCACACCAACTAGAAAACTTAACCAAAGGGCTTTGTTCTCATTTTTTCAAGGAGAACAATGCCTTCATCTGTGGTACTCTACCTTGGTTTTCCAATATTCTCCTTCGTAAAGCCTTCCTCAAATTTCTCCTTCGTAAACCCTAAACCCGAAAAATGCGTCTGTGGGGGAAAAACTTGTTAATGTGTAGTTATGTCCTCTGCCCCCTCCCCCTATGCCCCCCTGTATGCTGTTTTGCCTGCCCGTACGTTTTTTTACCCTGCCCGACCATGAGTTTTTTAAGCGTTTTTTGGGCGGACCCCAAACACGCGTCCTGTGTCTAGGACGATGCGTCTGGGCGCTAGCGTCCGAAACGCAGGATGTGCCTTTTTCCACTTACGGGCACGGTGATGCCTAACTAGATGATTGGGCTCACATTGTCGTCTTTCATAACGTAACCCTAAATTCGGATTCTCTAAAATGTGATACCAGCACACCCGGCCAAGTGCGCAATCTATGGCAGTTTTGAGAATTCTGAAGTGCAATACAAACACACCCAACCAAGTACTTAGCTCTGCCACTTTCGAGACTCTCAAACATGATACTAGCACACTTGAGGCTCATGCGAAGTGGACAAGCCAGGGGAAGGGAGGGAAGGGAAGGAGAGAGAGGGTGGGGGAGAGTCGAGGCATGTCATGTCGGCTTGCTGCTTGCCGCATGGCTTGCAATCCAGGCAAGGATTGGTTCGCGAGCGAGCCAGCAGGCTGATCTCGATTTCAAAGCTTGCTTGCACACTAGGCAAGCCTTTTCTATGATGGATGTACATCTCATCGTATGCCCCGCATGCGACATATGTAGCACGTGCTACAGCAAGGATGGCCCCGGGTGAACCTTGGCTTGGCAAGTGAGGCACGACAAAAGGCTTGGTGGCCAGCAGGGTGATCTCAAGAGCTGGGCAGGTCGGCCACGAGCTGGTTAGACGCTAATTTTCTAAGTCGAATCAAAAGTTAGCTCAGTCACGAGCCGGAGATCTTGTGGTGGCCAGGTTTGGCCACGAGCCGGTGATCTTTTGGTGGCCAGGTTTGGCCACGAGCCGGTGATCTTTTGGTGGCCAGGTTTGGCCACAACCGGTGATCTCTTGGTGGCCAGGTTTGGCCACGAGCCGGTGATCTCTTGGTGGCCAGGTTTGGCCACGAGCCGGTGATCTCTTGGTGGCCAGGTTTGGCCACGAGCCGGTGATCTCTTGGTGGCCAGGTTCGGCCACGACCCGGTCAGCAGCTGCAAATCAGGTTGACCGAGTCAACTTGGCCGTCATCGAGCCAAGTCAGGCTTGGGCCATGTCAGTATTGACTCGGCCTGTGCGGATGTCTAAGAAAGCGGCCGCATGTAAGGGAGGAGGGCATAATGATGAGAAAAAATGAAATTTTCACAGCTCTGGTGAAGTCAATACTTTATTCATTGTCCCTAGAATGCTTTTTCAATCAATCCGCTTTACACATACCGTTCTTCTCATTTCCCCATTAGGCAACTTGCGTACAACCAACTTCAGGGCACGATTCCTGCATCTATCGGCAATATTAAAAGCCTGGAACACTTGTCAGTGCTGTTCTTTGTCTGTTTGATCTGTTAAGTTAATGCTGTTCCTCGTTCACTTCACATGCACACTCTTGCTGCTGTACTGGGCCCCAAATCTGTATACTACACGTTTAGTTTGTGAGGGATTTGCTGTTTTATGCATTTACAGGATCAAAGTTCTGCCCTTTAAAGGTTGATCGAAACAAACCCTTAGCCCAGTGTACATGGAGTGATCCTGCTCTTTGTATCAAGCTTGCAGCTTGATTTTGAGCATCAAGCACTCCTTTGAAATTCTGTGCATGTATATCCGAGTTCCTCGCTCTTCCTGTGCTCATTGCCTGTGAATGTGACAACAGTATACATGGTGGTGAATTCCCCTGCCCTTTTCTCCCATTTTCCAACCTCATTCCGAGATGCAGGTGGCTGCTTCAAAACAAGCTGACAGACTCCATTCCAGCAGCGTTAGGCAACCTTGTCGCTTTGACCAACTTGTGAGTCACGGGCTAGATGGAACCTCTCTGCACTCTCTTCAGCACCACCTCCAATGCAAGCCTTGTTCTCCATCACTGATGGTGTTCTCCAATACATGCGATTGTTAGTTGACCTGAGACTTTCATGTCAAATTTCTTTCTCTTTTTTCATCAACCCGTGCTTTCTGTTGCTTGTTTTCACCTAAAAGATACTGTAATCTATTTGTTTATACGCAATATGCAAGTAGTTTCGAGAGCCAACTTAGGTTGCATTGTCCTGGTTAGAATAACCAGGCTTATGGATGCTATGTGCACGCCCTCACATGTTGAATGCATGTCTGATTCATGGGTTCCACTCAACTGTGCTCTTCTCGCACCAGCAATCTTGGCTACAACAGCTTGACAGGCTCCATCCCTGCATCGCTTGGCAACCTCACGAGGCTTAATTACCTGTAGGTGCTGCTGCTTTTCTTTGAGTTCCCCTGGGTGTGAGCCACTCCCAATGAACTGTATCTTGCTGGCTGATGAGTGCTGCTGTTTTCAGGACTGAAATGTGAGCCACCACATCACATTCGGTCAAACACCACATGCTGACTCTCGACACCATTATGAATGGGTCATCTCCAGCTGTGCCAAGTCCTTGCATCACATTCTGTGTGCCTTAAGCCAAGTATCTAGCAGTGGAGCCCTACATTCACAATGTATGTATGCTGGCAGCCAAAACAATACGTGGACACTTTTCATGTCGCCAACGTTCAATGATGTTTGCGTTATGATCTTGACTGACTTGTCTATCGTTCTATGCGTGCCGCTCTTCTTGAATGCTGCTTCGTGATTGACTCTGCCATTCTTCTACCCTGCTCTGTCAAAAAGCAGATATCTACATAGAAACAACCTCACTGGCTC